ATTGATTTTGACCCTTTGGTGGCAGCTTCTAACATCGATGATAAAATATCCTTTCTTAATAATACCATCCTGAATTTGTATAATATTCATGCTCCAGTACATAGTGTAAAAGTTAAGCGTCCTCCTGCTCCCTGGATGACTAAAGGGGTCCAGATGGCAATGGCGCGGCGAGATCGGGCTTTCCAGAAGTTTAAAAAGGATCGCTCTGAACAAAATTGGTGTAACTTTAAATTGCTAAGAAACAGATGCATTCAGGTGGTACGAAATGCTAAACGCCGCTACATTCATGACAAAATAACTAATTCTTCGCCCACTGATGTGTGGAAATTCCTTAGATCTCTCGGAATTAATAAATGTAATTCCCCGGAATATGGCTCCTCTCTTAATTTGAATGACATTAATCGTCACTTTGTTTCTGTTACTTCATTGGACCCTCAAGTCCGTTCTCAAACTATTGCTTCTATAGAATCAATGCAGCCTCTCCGGATCCCTGACTTTTATTTCTCCCCTGTTACTCAGGATGAAATAAAAAAGCTCTGTTAGCCATTAAATCTAAGGCTGTGGGTTATGATGCAATTAGTAAGCGAATGGATATCTATGATACTTGAGTACCTACTTCCAGCTATAACACACATTATAAATTATTCTCTGGACTCAGGTCAATACCCTTCTGCATGGAAAAAGGCTTTTGTACGACCCCTTCCTAAAATACCTAACCTGTACTCCCTAACCATTTTCGTCCTATCTCAATTCTCCCATACCTCTCTAAAGTTCTGGAAGCCTGTGTTTTTAAGCAAATATCTGTGTTCATTGCAAAACATAACCTGCTGAATGAATTTCAATCGGGGTTTCGCTCTGGTCACAGCACTACCACTTCGCTTATCAAAGTCACAGACGATATAAGAAAAGGCTTGGATGAGCAGAAATTAACAGTGGTAGTGCTTATTGACTTTTCAAACGCTTTCAATACGGTAGATCATAGTATCCTCCTATCTATCCTTAAACACCTTAAATTTTCATCCCCAGCCTTGGAGTAGTTCTTTTCTTATATTCGCGGCCGCCAGCAATCGGTTCGTTCAGGTCAGCGTTTTTCTGCATGGGCTGAAATTGAATCTGGTGTGCCGCAAGGCGGAATACTTTCTCCTATTATGTTTTCCTTATTTATAAACTGTATCTCCTGAGTTTTAGATTGTTCGTACCATCTGTATGCGGATGATCTTCAGCTCTATGTGCAGTCAGACTTAAATAACCTTAACTATGTAGTACATAAACTAAATAATAACCTGGAAGCCATAAGAGAATGTTCGTATAAATATGGCGTTTCAGTTAATCCAGCCAAATGCAAAGCTATAATCTTCGGAAGTTCACAATTATTAGCTAAGATTGATTATGGAAATCTCTCTCCTGTAATTTATAATGGAACTCTGATTCCATAAAAAATATTGGCTTGCACATGGACAAAACTATGACCTGGAAATTGCAGATCTCTGAAGTAAGTTGTAAAGTTGTTGCCACCTTGCGTTCCCTTTATCGTGTTAAAAATTTCCTACCTTTCAAAACCAAGCTTACACTTGTTCATTCCCTCATTCTACCTATTATAGATTATGCTGATGTATGTTACCCAGATTTGTCACAAAATCTTCTAAGCAAATTGGAGCGCCTTCTTAATAATTCCATAAGGTTTATTTTCGGTTTACGTAAGTATGACCACATATCTTCCTATCGTTCAAATCTTAAATGGCTACCTATACGTCAAAGGCGATGCTCTAGAATATTACTTGTACTTTATTCAATTTTATCTTCTATTTATTTTACCTATTTTTATTATATTATCTATTATTCTTATCTTAAGGATAACTTTCATTTTCTTCATTCGATTGACGGTCGAATACCACGACAATCAAACTGTCTGAGGATAAGGTTCCCACAGCATAGGTCTAATTTTTTCAGGTCCTCGTTTACGATACAAGCTATAAATCTTTGGAACACCCTCCCCGATGATATTAAGAATGCTACAAATAGAAACTCATTTAAATTACTTCTACGACAACAATACCTGAAAGCACTTACTAACTGACATTTTTCTTTCTTCAAATATTTATTTATTTATATATTAATACGGATATTTATAAAGTTTATAAGCATGTATACACATTACATATATGTATGTATGTATTATTGTATGTAAATATATGTTATATATATTTAAATATATATTTATTTAAATACATGTTGTGTATGTATGTACTATGTATATATTATATTTTAATATAAATACACTTTAATTATGTATTATGTTTCGCACATGCCTACAATTGTCTTTGGCACCCAGGGTTGACTGGCAGAGAATGCCATATGGCATTAAGTCCGCCCCATGTACCCTTTACCTTAAGGTTTTACATGTAAGTTTTTAAATAAATAAAAATAAATAAACAATTCAAATCAAAAATACACTTTTCTTGCCTTATGTTCAGCGAACTTATTCATTATATCATATCAATCATAGCTGAAGATGATTTCAGTTTTTCAAAATTTTCTGTCTCTATAGACAATATTCACAAGTCTGATGGCCTTTCCTGTTCATAGAAGTCCGTAGAATTTTTGGTTATCCACGTTCGGGGCCCCTGTACCCCGGGGGCCCCGTATCATTGATACGGCTGATACGGCGGTAGCTACGCCCCTGATACGGAGGATGGCTCATCAGCTCAACGTTTTCCTGGCAACAAACCGTGATATACCACTCAGCGGTAACCGTTCTGCGTTCCTGTAAAAGAATTGTAACAACATGCCCCTTTTTCGAGACAAACGTAGCGACCATTTTTTTTGACACGCTGCGGGAGCGAACCACTTTCGTTGGTTTGACCTCGTCTTCGAAGACCCAAACTGCTGACTGATGTTTTCTTTCAGGTTAGTATGAATAAATCCATGGTTCGTCACCTAAGACGATATTATAAACGGCATTTGACTTCCCTCCGTTGAAGCGTTACAGAGTATTCCGGCACCAATCTACACGAGCTGCCTTTTGCTCTTCGGACAAATTGTGGGGAACCCAGTGAGAAACTAGCTTTCTTACACACAGCTCATAATGTAATGTCGACTGAATTGCAGTCATTCCGATACTGATAACAGCCCGAATCTGCTCGTATGTCACATGACGGTCATCTCATATAATAGTTCGCATATCTGCGATGTTTTCAGGCGTGACCGCTGTTCTTGGTCGACCTGCAGAAGAAACAGTGCTGAGCGACACACGACCATGTCGGAACTCGGCATTCCAGCGGTATATTGTCGTTTGACTCGGTGCTTTAACATCATAAATCGAAACAAGTGCGCTGAGACATTTATCTTGAGATCAGCCGCGACGAAAATTGTGATAAATTATGGCACGGAAATGTTCACGCGTGAGCTCCATTTCTGTTAACGATGTGTCAACTTTAAACCAACATAATTTTTGTTTTTAAACATTTTTTTTAATTGTTTGAATGTCATTAAGATTCTAAGAGACCAGAAATATTCTATTCACGATCATTTAAGTGTGCCTTCACGTATATATATAATATATTAAAAAAATGTTGCAATCATAACTTTTTTGGTTTGCAATTTTACAAAAAAGTTCATTACTTATACTTTATCGTATATCTCTTAAAGTTTATGATTTGAAAATGTTTTTTAACATATTTTTCTTCAACACCATTTTAATATAAAACTACACAGAGATAAGGTGAGACCTATTTTACGTGAAATTAATAGATACCTACTCATGTACTTCAGTTTATATTTCGAACATTTTCGCGTATCACACATAGTTTTCGAGATAATAGCCAAAACAGAAAAAAATGAATGTTAGGTGGTATTTTGACACTTGAATTACTTGTACGTGTTTAATTCTTACGCAGACGTTGTCGCAGGTAAAAGCTATTTAAAAATAAAATTGATTTCTAAGTTAGTACAATTATTCATGATATATAAATATCCTTTTGTATATACCAAGTCCAGGTGTATAATTTCTAAATAAGCGATAGGAACAGCATTAGAGGTATTTTTCAGAGATCAGAAAACCCTTTCAGAAGCCCCTACTGAACAGCATTGTCACACATTTTATTATTCGAGCGAAATGACATTATATATTTTGTATTATGTAGTACCATTGCAGGATTAACTCTTATTTAGAATTTCAAATCGAAGTCAATCCTTTATGAGATGTACAGCTCGTTGTGTGTATTGATGATTTTTATAATAGGATAAGGGTGACAAACCGAATGTTACCATATACATTATCGGCGTAGTACAGTTGCTTAGGTTTAGAAACAACAGTTCCAACCCGTTATTTAAAAAATTGTGTTGTATTTTCCTGTTACGATAAATACGCCTCAGACCTACAGGAAGGTCATATCATGGTCCTGCTAATCTCATCACACCCACAGACTTAGATTTAATGGTCAGAAGTCTATCTTACGTCATCCTGGTCTACAGGATTAAAATCAAAATTTGGAGTGTGGTAAGATGAGACAGAAGTAAATCTATGTAAGAAGCAGTTGCAGATGGGATTGTTAGAGTCCAGCAGTAACAAAATGCAGATTCAAATTACCATAATAAAGAGAATGATCAAAATCCTAGTTCGCTGACACACCGACAGAATTGAGGAATTTTCAAACATCAGCTGGCAAAAAATTACATAGGTTCTTTATTTAAAGACAATTCAAACTACGGGTTTTAATGGGGGCTCCGTGGCGCAGTGGCTTAGCAATGAGTTGCAGCGCTTGGGGCTGCGGGTTCGAATCCCGCACGGAACAAGTATTTGTATGGCTTACACATAATTGTTCCGGGTCTGGATGTTTGTCCTTGTGCAATTTATGTTTGTAAACTGCCTCCACGATACAGGAGAAAATCCTAGTGTGGGGGTAACGTTTTTCAAAAAAAAAATCTCATTCATCTCATTTAATTTTACGTAAATAATACCAGACAATATTAGAGGTGCAAATAAAATACGTATATTTTTACTACGGTATATTTTTTGCCTCCAGTTTACCACCGTTTTCGACATAATTGTAATATGTTTCATATACATCGTACCAAAACTTCAGTCTAGCCAAAAGCGGAGGCGAAAGGGTACCTTCAGTTGGGTTTTCATTTATAATAAGAAACGTTCCATTTTTACCATATTCAGGCCATTTGTAGTTACTAGCTAGATTTTGTGGAGTGGGCTTCCTGAAATAATTATATACGGCGTTTAAATACAAATTTTGAAACAAGAAAGCAAGCATGTAAAAAATAAACCTCACATATTATAATACCATACTATTTTTTTTTTCAATAGCCCGTAAAAGTCTAATGCTCTGCTCTAAATGGTTCTGCCATTATAATAATAAAAATAACAAATATTACTCACTATAATTAAAAGAAATCATCATAAATACAAAAATATTGGTTTGTGATGCAATACGTATATCGTGCTAAATATGCAAGAATGATCTTTTGGAAAATGCTGTTGTTCTTTTATTTCATAAGATCTTGGGTAGGTTAGATCATTAAATCATATAATATTTAATTATGGTTTATATACAGGGTTATTTTGCAATAACCGGCAATAATAAAATAAAGGAGTTTCTTCATTTTCAGGCCTATTACCTAAATCTAAATTATCCTCAAACCGTTTTTGTTATAATAAATTTCAATAAAAGTAAAACTAAAATTTTACCCAAATTTTATGAAGTTTGAAAATAATGTCGTCATTATATTCTTGACTAAGTGGCTGTTACAATCTATTTTATTTAACATGTCTTTGGTTTTCTTCGTGATAAAGATGTAACCTAGTTCATCTGCATGAGAAGTTCCAGGGAAATCTATGTTGTAATTTATTTTCGACCAATTCAAATCCCCGTCAAAGTTGAACATATAATAATATACCGAATTGCTGCCATTCACTTTCTTATACTTTTTAATCCATGAATCAATACTATAAATATATTGAGAGTCAGAGATTAAGTCCACAATATTATTTAATGTAAAGTTCGATAAGTCACTGTTGAAATAATATTGACTTATAGATTTTGCTAAGTCCTTAGAAATTTTGGACCCTAGTGGATATTCAATATCAGATGGTATGGAATATTCCATATTTTCTTTTAATTTCTTTAATTTATCTTTATTCTGCATAATTTTAGGAATACCGTAAATACCTTCTCTGTAGTTAAAACCTACTAAAATAGGTATATTTTGTACCAATCCTAAATTTAGCAGTTTAATGGGATCAGAAGTAATTACTGCATGTAAAGAGTTTATTTCTATAGTTGGTACAAACATACTAAATGGTCGCAAAACAACGTCATCATATTTGGTTAAGTTTAGTTCAGCGTCTATTAAGTCGAAAACTTTTATTTCTTGAAGCTTTTTTAATAATTCATGTACGTCATCTGTCATCAGACCTAATTCTTTAGCTAAAATAAGGGTATTATCTTTTGCATGTCTGGCAATAAATCTATGAGAAACAGCGCTACCACTTATGAGTATAGCTCGTTGAAAAAGATCACTGGCTTGTTGAGTTAATAATAAGTAATGAACCGCTGATGCTCCAGAACTATGTCCGCCGATTGTTATTTTATTTCGATCTCCTCCAAATCGTTCAATATTGTTGTTAATCCACTTTAGGGCGAGTATTACGTCTTTTAATCCCGCGTTACCCGACGCTTCTTCGATATCAAGTGACAGAAATCCCAACGCTCCTAATCTGAAATAAAAATCGATATAACTTATATATATATATATATATATATATATATATATATATATATATATATATATTATACTACACTGCACAATCGACTAATATTCCAGTATTATGTCTATATATTAACAATTGCAGCATTAAAAGACAAAATATTTGAGCGCAAGAGCGTCAAAAGTGCATCATCTCATGATCCGTTTTTAAGAGAAGAGCAAAATCAATATTAAAAACAAGCTTAAAACGTACCACGCCGCTGTCATATTATGTAAATTAAAACAGTGTTCTTTAATTTACATAATATATTATATTTATATAATAGTACTTAGTTTTTATATTAATTCATAAAACCCATTATTTTATAGTCGTCTATTTAATTTTTTTAATCGGTAATGCGTAAAATCAATAATAAGGTTATACTATGAATAGATTATCTCTACATTAATTTTTATGATCTTTATAAAGGAAATGCTTGAAATATTCAATAATCACCTAAAGTTCATTGTCACAAAGATTAATCCCTGTTCAAGGAAGAGTTGTGGTCCGTATAAAACGTCACTGTTTCCCGAAAGCAAACGAAACGTTCCGCCATGTACAAATACAAATACGGACAGTTTATTTTTCTGTACGTTTGCAGGAATATGTATATTTAAAAATAAACAATCCTCGCTCATTTCTTCTATTTTGTACGGTTCTTGTGGACCATGTCCTTGTGGACATACAGGCCCTTCTTGTGTTGCGTCAAGTATTCGTTTCCATGATTTTTTTGGAACTGGAGGCTGAAAAGTTGTAAAAAAATTGTAAGTTTTTAAATTAATATTTATTATATACAATAGCAATATTAATTACTCAGTTAAGTTTTTATGAAATTATTTTAATCAATATTCTCGTTGGCAATCTCTATTAAAGAGCTTTGATTATCTATATCAGGAAACATCGAGCGACTCTACGTACGTATGTTTGTTTAAAAAAAGAAAAACAGTAATATTATTATCATCATCATCACCACTACAGTCCATCACAGCAAGGCCTCCTCTAGGAATGTCATAAAGCATCGTCCTGAACCTGAACAACTTGCATCCATCGACTTCATGTAAAACTATATTCACGTGTTCAGCGATGTTATATAATTATATATGGTTAATATAATATTATAAGAGATTAGTGTAAGTGTACTTTCCGTTGGTGATCATTAGCAAGGAAATAAATAAACTGTGAAAAGTATATTACCATAAATCGTAGCTTTCCAACTGGGCTTTCGGCATATGGAATTCCCAAATATGAATAGTAGTCTAAGTTATGCCAATGATTTAGTAATCCTTGCACGGGTCCAGAGGTTGTATTTACTACACGGGCGCATGTTGGTGGAATTACCTCAATAAAAATAATTGTTACAAAAAGTAACTTTAGAAATTTGCAGCATTTCATTGTTTAAAGCACCTAAAATCGGAAAATTATTAAAGTTAAGTAAAAGCACAGCTTAAAATAGCCAGCCTGCCGGTGTTCTACAGAATACATTTCAGAAAGTGTGCGCAGGAATTGCATGACTTAACTTTTCCCTCTGTCTTTCAACCCGTGGCGTAACAAAAATAACGCACCCCCCTCCCCCCCTCCTATATTGCCGATATGTCACCCAAATACAATACAAAACCAGTTTTCCCAATGAATTTTCCCGTCTTATACTTTTAGGCTTAGGATCGTCTTATAAAATAAAATTATAAAAAATCTTTTGCATATCAATGACGTACATAACTAATGACTGTCATTATTATGGCGTATTTGAAAAATTGGAATAAACTATTTAGAAGTAAATTACACAAGTAGTCCCAATAACTAAACCCCAAAATCGAAACCGTTTCTTTCTACGCATAGACGGAAACGTTTTCTTAAATTATTTTTACACTTATTTACGTTAAGTTAAAATTGCTGTTAGAAAAAAATATCTAAAAGACGTGCGTGGTTGCTTGAGCAAGGGAAGGGGACTACTTGGTACTTAAAATATCTGAAGCGACGAAATATAATCTAACCAATTCAGAATGAGCACATGATCAGGAGTTGCGCTTGCAAACACTAAATCAAAGGCGCGGTCAATATAAAGTTTGTATGCTTAAATGTTCATTGTTTTTAATGTAAATATTTTGTTTTTATTTTATCAATATTATTAATTATTTACTTAATTTATATTATTTAATTTTAGTACTATAAAATATAGTCATTCTTATGATATTGTGTTTATGAATATGTATTTTATCAATTGAATACGTTATAATTTAAGCTACTTATTATATATGTTTATAATACTTAAATAATTATTAATGGTATAATAACATTTAAAAATCAACACATTTTAGCTGGGTCATAGACGGAATATCAAAAACAAGTTTGTTTTTTATATTCTGTGTGGTCATATTATGTGTAATAAAAACTAATAGTTAGTCAACTCGGCGACTAGATGGAGCAACGATGGGGCGCGGTATGAAGCAGAGCGGAGCCCCCTGCTGCCCGAGACGTTTGCGGGAGTACCGGACGGCTTCGCTTGCGTGCCGGTACGCCCGTTTAGGAGTGTCACGTACACGGAATGCGTTTGGTATTCACACAGCAGCACGATATTACTCGGTATTATTTTTATTATTTAATTTACTTGTTTGAAAATATTGGGAAAAGATTGTATGACGCTTTAAGTAAAATTTAATTCTTACAACCATGTGATGCTTTCCATCACGAGTTTCAATTGAATTATATGTAAGGATATGAATTTATTATATCATTAAATTCAACAAAAGACAATTAAAAAACCCAATAATAAATGCCGTAGTAAATATTTGTTTTCGGCGGCGTGCATTGAATAAACATAAGAGAACCAATGTATAATTTTAACTTGTTTTATATATATATATATATATATATATATATATATATATATATATATATATATATATATATATATATATATATATATTTAGGTAAAATATAATTAAATTGGGCAGGTAACTACCTGCAAAAGCACAAGTTTTTGTTTCCATCACGACAAATCAGGTGAAGCTGCGGGACACAACTAGTTTTGTATACTAGTAATTACTTTGTATATTTGTATAGAAAAATAAATTATTACGAGGAATACAGATATTTTTATATTATTATTTAATGTTATGATATTTATTATCTAAGATAAAATGTTTTTGTGACAACCCTTGCATATTTTTAGTAACGACACACTTGTGAACTCACTGTTAGTATTATTATTTGTCATGCGCACTCGCAAGCCCTACCTTCATGAAGTTTCAATGGTAACTAACATAAACACAGAATACTTTTACTCCTAGCGGAGTACTGAACATGAGCATAACTAACATTTATACAAGGGTACTCTGTGGTTTATAATAATGAACTTCAGCATATTGAGAAATAAGAAGGAAAGGGAAAAGAGGTAAGGAATTACAATTAAAAATTGATAAATTGATGGACTTACAAGAACTTATGTTAATGTAGTACAGAAAATTTTAAGTACTTACATCGTAGCTTTACCGGAACTTAAGGATCCTGTAATAAAAATAAATATTTCGGTAGCACCTAGTGTAGTTTTGGCCAAGATAACAAAAAAGTGTTGATTTGCAGGAATAGACTGGGGTCAAAAAGTGCCAGAACAATTTAAATTAGAATGGAATGATAATAGAAGTAATCTTAAACACTTGTCTGATTTTAATCTTCCTAGTTGTCTGGGTCCGAAGTCAAACGATGATCCACTTCAACTTCATTGATTTTGTGACGTCTCTCAAGCTGCCTATTCAGCTGCAGTATATCTTCGTTGTTCGACTCGGCAAGCTTCGTTAAGGTTTTACTTCTTGCGGGTAAAAGTAAAAACAATGTGGCATCAGTAAGCATATACTCATCTCTAGATTGAAGTTGTACAGAGCTCTGTTGAGCAAATTGATGGTGGATACCGGAGAAGCATTGAACGTAGACAGATAAAGCTCACATGCCTGAACTGACGCGACTCTCGGTTTTGTGTGACTAGTCGCAGGAACGTTTTCGTGGCAAATAGTTTCAGAAATCTTATCAGTGACGGAGCCTGGAGTGGTATTATGTGCGAGCTGCTCAAAATCCTGCAGATCTCTAGAGTTGTCAAAAAGAAAGTTTGTGATTGAATGACTTTATGCTAATTAATGTTATAAATAGCTATTGGATAAAGATGATATTGTGAGAAACCAATGACAACAAGTGCGCGCGTTTATTGTGCATCGGCCCGAGAGCAGCTTTATGATAAATACATATTCATCTTTGACTCTTAAGAGCAGACGGATCTAAGTTTTAAAAAACTTTTTTGGCGAAGATTAAAGCCTTATCCTGGTAATAAATTTAAAAAAAAACTTTAGAATGTGTCATAAAATAGTGTCAAGGGAAACATCCAGGAAGAGAAAGAGAAGTTACAAAAGGGAGACAACGTATACAAAAAAGTAAGGTTTCTATCCTGAGCAACGAACTCGAAAACGAGTTCGTTTGAAAGAGTTGGATACAAACGTGAGAGTAACCTTCTTTTTACATAAAACATAAATTTAACAATGCCAGTTAAAAATTCATATCATGTGAAATCAGCTAAGACGTGTTATTGAAATATAAAGCTAACATTTGAAGAGATTAGGAGATGCGATAGTTTGGGCGCAAATCCTGGCGAGTCTAATTTCAAGGCCATTGTCCGACTCTATGACTATGGTAAATTTGGGGATATATACTAACACTGGGACACTTTGATAGACAAACCTCTATTAGTTAATTGCTCAGATATACACAAAAAATGGTTTACGAAGCGAACCTGGATATCGTGGTTATCAAAATATTTATGACGTTTTTACCCGAAAGACTTTACTTTAAGCATCTGAGGTGAATTTCGTTGATGATGCCAACGTTAAGGAATATCATCTACCATATATCCACAGAGTAGTACATAATGAAAATCTAGGTCTGGATAAAATTACTTAAGTAAGTGGCAAACCAACAAAATTTATATATTATCTGTAATGAAATGGTTGTATTGTGTTGTGTAAAGAATTTTGTAAACTCTCTTTTTCTAATTCGACATGGATTAGGTATGTCTTGGAACTATGTCCGAGGTGGGCGGTATGTTTGATCAGATTGTTCTACGGGAAAGCTGCTAAAATAAATCTTGTACAAAATCGAATACGTTGTCTATTTCGAATTCCCATAGTAACAGCATTATCATACCAGCTCTTTTGTTTTTCCCTATTCGCAGAGGAAGAAGCTTTCCGAGCGTCCGCTCGAAGAGTAAGCCGTAGCTACGTAGTAAGTATCCTTTGTCGTAATGCATCGCGGTGTACACTGTACAATTTTTTTAGTATTGTATGCTTCTATATGTATTTAGGACATGCGAAGCTCTCCGCAGTGTGGCATAATTATATCGAGTTCAGTTCACTTACTCTCAACAAAGACTCGCCTTTCTAACTGTAAAATAAATATAATGTTATTTTATAGTTTGAAAGGTCAGTCATCTATACATATAATAAAGCTGAAGAAAAGTCGTGTCTGTAATTCTAATATTTTCTGGAAAAAACAATTCCAGGCGACTAAATAAAGGCCACTGAGGCCAAATTATTGGTTTTTAGAATTTTTGTTTGTCTGTCTGTCTGTGTATTCCCGATTCACGCAAAAACTACTGGACAGATTTCCATGAAATTTTGTTTGTAGCTAGGTAGGTACCCGGGGCAACTTATAGGCTAGTTTTTATCCGATTACGAAACTCCAAAAAAGAGGCTTAAGTATTTTCTCCCTCAAGATGTTAATTTCTATTTTATATTATAGATTATTGATGTTCTGTTTTTATAAATAACATATTTATAAATAAAGCCTAAAATTAGTTTCAACCGTTGTGTAATATTAAATACGCCGACAATTTAAGTTTCTCTTTATCAAAACAGTGCCATTTAACGTGAAATTCAAAAAGTAGTAACATTTTACCTCCAGTTAGTAATAAATAAAATATAATATACAGCTTACATTTATATGTTTTTTAATAATTTAATTCATAATTATTTAAAAATCCTAACGTTCCTTTTTCAGTTCTTTCGTTATTTCATTTTAGTAGAAATTAATAAAGTTTATAGTAACTAATTACTGCTTAAATAGTAGATAATAGAGACATTTATCAAAAAGTGTAAGGGTTCACGTAAACCTAATCCGTCATCGGCCGAAGTTTACTCGGGCGACGACGGCCGAACTCGGACGATCGAATGAAGCACTTGTAAAAGAAAGAGAGCGCATACCAAAGACATTTAAGTAGTTAGTATATTATATATTTTAAATCTCTTTGGCGCATACACACACACACGACCGTCATCGTCCGATGACGCACGAAAACGGCCCATCATCCGTCGATTCCGAACTTGTTTTGATTTCTCGCCATACTGCCAGCGTCTACAGTGCAAATTGAGTGTCTTTATTCTGTTATTTCTTTCTGTCAGTGTTGTTATCTACCTAAACGACTATGGATATTGAAAAATTAATTAGTTTTATTTATAATAGCCCAGCCCCGTGGGATAGTCATTCAAAAATTACAATAATCGAGAGGTTTCGAAATGGTTATGGGCTGAAGTTTGATCGGAATTGGATATAGCGGTTCCAGACATTAAAAAAAAGCGTCTTCACTCTGTTAAGCAAAACAGTCAAATACAGAATACCGGTAACGTCCAATGTCGGCATAAGTGGTACACACACTGTTGCAGCGTAAGCATGACGTCCGAGGTACTTTACACATACACGTCCGAGTTACTCGTCCGGGTAGTTCTGTCCGCCATCGGCCGACAAAATCGGTTATGGTGTACACGTACCGTAAGCTGTAAGATTTTCATATCTAAATGATGGAATAGTTCAATTGACTAATTACAAGGTAGATGGGGTGCACAATAGTGCAAAAGCTTTTTTTCAGCTTTTATGAGTTTTATTTAAGCAGATACGAGAGCTGTGTAGCTCGCCGTAAGATTTCAAAGTACAGGAACAAGAGAGTTCGATTACCGCGAGGACCAATGAAACTGGTAAGGAAATTTTATTTGCTTATTTTCTACGTTCTCAGTAAAGTGGTAAAGAATAACTTGGCGGCGAAGCCTTGATGCCCAAGTTGTTTAAAAAAAAATCGTGGACATGGGAAACCACTATTTTGCACATGGGTAATAGCAGCCCTGTGCACAGCCGTAAGACGTATGTAAGCTGCTTCTTTATTTTTTTTTAATGAGGCTTTTAAAACAGTTTGTCAGATATTAAGATAGCTTTCATGTTTTCAGACATACCTATTGAGATTTTTTGTGACGGTCCCGGAATCATAGCTGGCATGAGTAAATTAACTGTGGAATGTATAGCTGCTACTTTTTTACTTTTAATAGGCCTATCCACTGTTGATCATAGGCTTCTCCCATTGTTTGTCAAATAGGCCGAATATTTGCAGTAGTTGCCATGCTTGGCGAGTGGGTTGGCAACCACAGCTTTTTATTACTCTGCTCTGTTATTAGGAAGATGCTGCCATCCATCTCCTGTTTCAGTTTCCTTTCTGTCGCCTCTTACGACACCCGCGAGACGAAATGAGGCATTGGTTTCTGTTTCGCTGCCTCTACTTTGCTAACATATTCCTCCATTCAACTCCCCTTCATCATTTCGATTCCATAACTTGGATATTAGCCGTTGTTACCACGCTTGGCAGGCGGGTTGCCAACCGCATCTTTTTATTATTTTAGCTGTAATCAGAAAGACGCTGCTGCCCTTCTTCTCTATATTTCTACCCCCGTTCATGAATATAGTCCCAGTCACACGTTCATCGCGAATAGAACTACACTTTTGAAATTTTAACTTTAATTGAAGTAATATTAATGATATTTCTAAATTGAAGCCAACGCGAGCGAAGCCGCAGGTAAAAAGCTAGTTTTTTATTGTTTTAATCCTGTATTTGTGTGTATTCAAATGTTGTTCAAACGTATTTAATACAAATTTCATAATTTGATTATATTGATATAACTTTATTCGCCATGACTCTAAATTAAGTAAAATTAATGTTACATTTACATACTTATATTAATTTATTTACAGTCTTATGATGTACTTACCTGTATATTAAAGAATCTTAACTTAATAGTTTAACTTAAATAAAGATTAATGTAATTTTTTTCCTTAAAATAAATTATTTTTAACACTTGTTATTTGCAATCAAATTACATATACATTTGGTTAAGTACTGAAGTAATTTTTATAAAAGAAATTAATGACGCCTTTTGTCTCTTAATGATGGAAGCGATCAATACACTTTAGATTTCCAAACTGGATTTTAAATGTTAATTAATGTATATAATTCTAATGAGCACAGCTGTGTCGATTGTTGGCGCTTATTGTATGCAAACTAGACTGTACTAGTCATAATACACTTATTATTTTAGGTGCGATACAAAAATGTTTACATATATGTAAATTATGCAAATTCTTTATCAAATTAAAGCCAGCTACAAGGTTAGTTATTCGTTTAAATTTGATCTACAAATACTTTTTAATTGAAGTTGGAAAATATATTTATGTTCTAGGACTGGATAGAATTAAATTAAATAGAGAACATTATTTTAACATGTGCATACAACTTTTAATTTGTAGAATCAAAACTAGGCCAATGATTAGAATAGTAATTAAAAAACCCGACTGCGTAAAAAGTTTACTGAAAGAAAACAAAATTAGGTAAGTATACGTTTGAGCTATAGAGTGTGCCAAAGAAATAAACATACATATATACACTCGGATAATATTACGCTCCTTCAGGGGCAGTCGGGTAAAGGAACAACAGTTTTAGTCGCTCCAACGGTACGATTATTATTTATTTTATCTCAACATTTAACTGCAGTTAAAATTGGATAAATATGTATTTACATACGTGGAACATATTCTATCGTTTAATACGGCTATTAATTGTGTTATATTCTACTTGAAAGTTTTATATATATATATAGATATACACACAGTTGGATCGAGGTGGAATTGAGGGTACATCTAGAAACCCCCACTTGTTTGTGTAGTATAAACTTCACTGTAGGCGCCGTGCACGAGAGAATTCGCTTAAGTCATTCTACGAGTATGGTCATTCTACTAGTGCTAAGATAGTGTCGTGGTTCTGTTCGTTGTTGTAATTCTTCTAGTGCAGACAAGGAGGATTGGTATTGCTGAGAGGCTGTTCTGTGTTACATTGAGATAAGTAGTGTTGCTGTTGGTTTACATATTTTGGTGTTATCATATAATTACGTACCTCACGTTACATTGGTGTGTGATTGTGGCGGGAACGTGTTACGGTGTGGTCTAACTGTAATTTCACTATACTGAATGCATAGTGCGTTACGTGGTCTTATTACTGATAATAATTAATTTCGTAAGCAAGAGAGCAAGTTGAAGATCCGCTCTCACACTTTCATTATTTTTAACAATTAACAATTAATGCTATCCTGATGTATTTCCGAGATCAAAATTGCGATTCTCTGCTGAATCTCCGCAATATATATATATATATATATATATATAAGCATATGCATGTAAAATTATACAAAGAGGTAGACGACACAGTAAATAACTTAAAATTTATCCGAAGAAGTTGCTAAAAATATTCTGGAAGGAGTTGCTGATGGAGGTAAGAAACCCAGGCGCGGGAGCAGGTGGGGGTCGCGACACAACTGGTCTGTAGTACGGTCCGGTGTCTATGCGCTGCAATATTAACAAAATAAAGCAATTTTATTACAATATCGTACGTATATATGTTTACCATATAATAAAACTATTAAGCTAAAGGGCAAAAGGTGGTTGTAGGCTTACGATTACCGAATATTATTAAATACCCGTACTCTGTTAATATTGATAGCTTAGTTACCTTAACTTTTAACATGAGGGCGAGTCTGCGAATTAAGGCACTTTTTAATGAACTCTAAATTGACACATGGGTCCTTATTATGCTTTACATAAAAAGTTACAAGCAAAGAAATTTTCTAAAATTTATCTTAAAACGATATTGTGATTATACTAGTTACTGGTCAATTATTTAATCTAATAATACGTAATTCGTAAGCACATACTCGTAATGCGCACATTATTTTATACGTGGTAGAGCCATGCTGCAGCTATATTAGTATCTAGTACGAGGGCGACGCTGAAAGTTTTTAGAACTGGCCACTTATAAACGATATAATGAAAAAATAAGTTCAAAGTTTGTAAATGGAACTCTTTGCCAATATTATTGTGTAAATATTTTATTAATTTGTCATTTGTTTACGATTTGGTGGCAAATTGAAAATTGTCTGTGTCACGTCAGCATGAATTTAACGCAGAAAGAAAGAAATTTAAAAAATTAAAAAAAAATTAAGAAAATTTTCGTACAATGATTTTTTCTTAACTTTCGTTGTAATTTAAATAAAAAAGAAAGTTACAATAGACTTCGATTGGCCTTTCACGATGAAGCCCCATCTCGTGCCACTGTTTACAACTGGTTTAATGAGTTTAAACGTGGTCGCACTAACGACCTCGCAGAAGGATCCTCCTTCACCACGACAACGCCTCGTCGCACACCGCCAAGCAAACAGTCGACTACTTGGCGACGTCAAACGTGGAAATGGATTGACCATGCGATTTTTAGTTATTTCCGAAAATAAAAGAAAAACTTCAAGTAAAACGTTTTATGCTGGATGCCGAGGAAGCGGTGGCTGCGTTTCAAAATGTCGTCGAAGAAACCCCTAAGGACGAGTGGGTAAAGTGCTTTTCTTAGTGGTTCCATCGGATGCAGCAATATATTGATGTAAATGGACACTATTTTGAAAAGATATTATAAAACTAATAATTTGCTAGTTTGTTCAGTTTTTGATTTTCTAAGAATTTTCAGTGTCACCCTGGTATAATAATTGTGGCACGAATGGGCCGGCTCGACCGGGCAAGGACCATGCTCTCACAAAATACCAGCGTAAAATAGCAGCTTAACACTGTGGTGTTTAGTGTAGAAAACCAGAGACCCATAGAATAATTCTATGCAGAGACCCTTTTTACTGGAAAAGAGGCATTCCATCTTAGTCCTCACGGGTGACAACGTATCTGCATTTTCATTCTATATTGAGGATAGATGTAGATGTCTATGGGCCACAGCAACCACCACAAACTAATTAGAAGCAACCACTTACCATCAGGTGGACTGTGTGCTCGTTTGTTACCCTATCCTATAAAAAATGTAATAATAGTAATAGTAAAAATGTAGTAATGCTTTATGTATAAAATGACATTATTAAATACCCTTTGTTTCTATTTAAGAATGTTATTTTTACTAACTTTATAATTTTATGAGAAAAAAGTGGCTCATGGCCGTGTTTTGTAGCAATCCTTGGGGAAGGCCTATATTCAGTAACGGAATTCTGAAGGGCTGTAATGATGTTGAACTAAAAATCTCGAATCGGATTCAGGCTGGTCGACTGCTCCTCTTAGAGAAACTCGCCAGCTACGCCAATAGTTGGGATGTAATGTTACATGTTAAGTATTCTAGAAAATAAATTTTACAAGTACATACATTGTTTAGTTTAAATTTATAAAAACATAATTGTTAAACACTTACCCATTTCCTTAAGGAAAATACCTAATTGTGAGACATTGTTTTGGTTAATAGGATGTTATATGTGTATATATACGATTAAATGGGTGATGTTAAATAGAAAAATAAAATATTTTATATTAATACGTTTTATTCTTACGAATATCTACATTTTTATCAACATATGAAACAATATGTTTCAAAACCCTCAGTTTAATTATAAACTTTACGATACCTGTACTAAAATTCGATTCAATGTAGGCACCACTGAAACTTTCAATAGCAATTTTTAGTAAAGAGCAATTTTTAGTGTGTGTTAATTTAAAATAAAACTCCATAATATAGAAACCTCTATGCCTAAGAAACGAATATTTAGGGTATCAAAAACAAGTGACGTCTGCTAACCTACACTGAAACAGCGTGGTTATCTACTTTCTACGTAATGAAAGATTCTATGGAAAGTAGGTTACTCTTTTGTAGTACAAATATTATAGTGTTTTCATTTACTTTTTATATTCAACATAATAGTGTTATTTCGCACGCCAATTAATAAAAATACAATTAGGTTCCGATACTATGAAATAATAAATAAAATGGTAGAAATAATACATGCAATTAATTTAGTTGATGTAGTATAGTGCAGCATTGTGGTATAGTGCACAGAATACATCTAGCTATTTACAACAATTTACATAAAACACTTATTATTTAATTACCGTTAGTCCCAAAATAGTCCACTTTTCTAGTAAGACCATTTCCAAAGAGAAATTCTTTAATAGCCACCTGTGGCAATCGGATTGGCTCACAGGATACCAGCGTAAATTAGAGCAGCATAATAGATACTGCTGTGTTTTGTGTGGTGAGTGTAAGAGAACCGAGAACCGGTGAACTTTATTATTGGTAATGAGGTATTCATTTTTAGTTCTAGGTCGATACTACATCGGGTTGAGGACCGCCCTACACTTCTGTTACCAGCACGAGGCTGCTACTCGAGAACCTTTCTTCCCGATCGATTGTCGAGCTATTCGTCCTGCCCCTTGCCACTTCACACTCACTTCACTTCATTGCTGATCAATAAAAAATGATGATGATCCATGATAAATATTCCTAGTCAAACAGAAGTACGTTCAGCTCTATAATACTCACAGTTTTATGGTGATGATGATGATTATAACGTTGATGGATTCATAATTATTGCCAAAAACAAATTAAGCCCAAATGACCACCGGCCTAAGAGACCCTAGAGAGTTAATACTTCGCAGGTCCTTCCTTCGAATTCCAGCCGTTGTCAAAATGTTTTGCATACATATACAAGTTGTTAGTTTTCGGGTCTGAAGATGTAACTGTCACAGTGCACACCTACCTCCGATCTTATAGCTAAAGCGTAGTAGCTCGGTTAAGGTAGGCCGAGTAAGTGCTCCTGTCTACGTATACGTGCTTTACTTGCAACACTAAAACATCTCCTGCGCAGCTAATAGCATTCGAGAATATTCGGTAAATTTGCCGTGGTTGCCATAAACAGAAGAACTTCGTCATGTCACATTATCGCTTAGTCTAACTGTTCGCGCCTGTTATAGATGACATTTTAACAGTATGGTATGGTCTGTGAAATTACTTAGTGGACGCCTAGGCAGAGGGCATCGCATATACATATTCATATCATATAGAAACTTACAGACCACTTGCCTTATCGCATTTTAACCATAATATTTTGGTAATTCTCGCCGAATTTATAATTATTAATAACCACTAACAATAGTAAAACTGCTTGTAAATGCTACTAACAATATCAATTCTATACATAAAAAATACAATGCCGACTACACTAAAAAATCATGCATAAAACTGCTCATTAAATTGATAGGTTTACCAACGTTTTTTTTATTGTGGGAAGGACCAAGTCGTGTTGCGTTTGTTTCCTGGGGCAGCAGGACTGTCTGAAGTATTCTGCTTCGGAAGAGAAGATCGTCTTCCCACGAACCCCTAAACATTACAACTACTAGAAGGAGACTCAAACCACCACGTCCTATATTATATATGTGTTACTAACAAAATAGTGTAAATTAATATCATAGCTAAGGCTGTCCAAGGTCTTCCTTACTGCAGTTCAAAAATCTAGAATTTTTATCCATAGTTAGTCGTTTTAAGGCTTTTCTATAATATTTTTTTTCTCAAAATATAAATGTTTAACCATTAAAGTCGGTTAAATGGTCCTTTACCTTGTTAGATTAAGTATCAGAATAAGAGATGCAATAATCTGATTTGATTTCGATTGCAATAAAACCAAGACAAAAAACGAGAAGGTTCAACATTCGACACATATGTGTTTTATATATGTATCATTGTTCACCGATTTCTGGAAACAGCTGTACCGATTTTAATGATTCTTTTATTAAATAGGCTACACTTCATGGATCTTAGTCCTATTTAAATTTTAAGAAAAAATTTCACATAAGGGTGGATCATAAGGGATGAAATATTTAATGTAACTATTTAGACGACATACTAGTTACCTTAGAATACCCTAAACTTGTGGTTTCCTTACCGTCACTTTATACTGGTAAAACATTCACATAAAACATGTTTCAACTTCAGTTCTTTGACAATATATGTCAAGCAATATGTTGAAGTAAAACATGTTTGACATTTCATAAAACAAATCATGTTCTACAACAAGTTTTTTAAATAAGATTTCAAAACAAATCATTCAACGTGTTGACATGACAACCGACTGAAAAATTTGTTTGCGTATACAATCACTATCATAAGTTATGTAATATTAAACAATATTAAAATTATTAGTTTTGACTTTAAAAAATGATCTTTTCTACTACGGCGTAAATAAGAAGTTACCTGAATTATAAAATACAAAAAAGAAAACATAAAATCAGCATATAATAGCTTCCGAAGTCGGGGCTTTTATTTATCGATACACTATCACTGTTAGCACTTTTACCCTTTTGAGTGGACTACGGAATATCACCATGTTTAAGGTAAAAACTAAAATTTCGTCCCAATAGCTACATTAAAAACTTCATCTCCTATTTTTTTTTTATTTCAAATTTTGATTTAATTCTTTTTGCACTACAACCTTAGCCGTGATAATATTTAGTTTAGAAAAATGTAAGTTTAGCAAGGTTTTATGATACAAAAGTTTACATTTATATACAAGTTATAATAAGGCTACTGTGTTTCATAGGATAGTTAATTGTAAGTGAAGCTATATTTACGCATAATTTTGTTAATTTAGCTACTTACTTTAGCTGAATGTAAAGTGACATTCAGAAGCGTGGGATGACTGTCGATAACAATAAATTCTACTTCTTGAGGCAAATATCCTTCTGCCGACACCTGTAATAGTAGAACTAAATTAATAAAACCCGAACAAGTGCAAGTGAATGCGGTACATCAATGTAGGAAACTACATAATAGAAACCCAATTTTTTAAACCTTTCTTCATGTACGTGAAACCGGACTATGAAAAAAATATGTTAATTCCATCAGCGTTTTGTTTATTGAGTACGAAACAAATAATAATCGGTAAAACAAAGAAGCGAAAAAAAGATTTGCCAGCATCAGATTTTTCATCTAATTATAATGTGGGAAGTCTTCAAGGTAACAGTGAATAGACTTTTGTTAAGCTAGGTCAATGCGCTATACCCTCTTCGGCTACGTTACCACTTACCATCAGGACAGTAGTCAAGCACTTGCATATAACAGTTAAGAAAAAAACATTCAAAAGTAAATTATTTTTTACAGTGTCGATTCTAAATTAAATATTTATTGCTATGTATAATATTCTTAAACTTAAATTTATATTACCTATCATTAAAATAATAGGTGTTCACGTTATATGTTAGTGGTTAAAAACAGACAGTATTTAAATGGCGAGTTTGCCGTGAACCACGAGGCTACTGTCGCTTTCATTTTTAAATTAAAGCGACAGTATACAATATAGCACGAATGGGTCGGCTTAACTGGGAAAGGACCACGCTCTCACAGAATACCAATATAAAATTGCATCTTAATGCTGCCTACTAATTTTGATTCTTAATTGAGGATAGATGTAGGATGTCTATGGGCAACAACAACCAGTACTATCAAGTGAACAGTGTGCTCGTTTGTCTATAATGCCCTTATTCTATAAAAAATCAGTTTAAAAGTTTTCGTAACATTTACTTTAAATATTTTAAAATTTACATAATTTTGATATTTTTAAAATATTAAAATTATGTACTTAATTTATGTAATTATTTTCGAAATTTGTCATGATACGAGTAGTTTACAGTAATTTTATCGTGAGTTATCATCGATCAATGAGTTATTGAACAAATCGTTTAACGGGTCGTCGTCTTTGTTTTTGTGTTTGAATAGGTGCACATGGGCTATGGGCAAATTACCAATTGTATAGGTATATACAATTAAAACATATATTAAAACATATACACCTAATAATAAAAAGAAAAATCCAAAAGTCCGTTAACGGTGGTAGAGCCACGCGGCAGTTTTTGCTGTTGCACGTATGGGCCGGCTCGAGCCGGGTTGGTACTACGACCTCACAGAATACCGGCGTGAAGTAGAAGCTCTGCTTCTGCGTTTCGTCTGGTAAGTGCAAGTGGCCGGAGGCCCAATTTTGTTTTCTTTGTACAATTTCGTATCTCTCCAATCCGGGGTACAAATTGGAGCACTCCTTTGTGCCTCGGGCTGGAGTTTGCGTATACATGTACAGAGAGGACATCTGTTCTCGACGCCTCGGCAGCCTTGAACCTGTCCATCCTTTGGCTACGCGTAGACAGCAATGACCATCCGCGCGTCTACGGGTGCTTCTATAGGTCCCATAGCGATAATGCCGAAACAGACCGACTCATCCACCACGTCCAAATGGCTACAGATTCCTTGCTACAACAGGTCCCATCCGCAGAGATCGTGATCCTTGGCGATTTTAACGCCCACCACGCCGAATGGCTCGATTCACGTTTAATCGATCATGCGGGGAGATTTGTTTATGACTTTGCCTTGGCATATGGTCTGACACAACTGGTTACTTTGCCTACGCGGATTCCAGATGTGAAGGATAATACACCTTCCCTGTTGGACCTTTTGCTGACCTCTCATCTGGACGGATATCAGGTTTCTGTCGATGCCCCTCTCGGCTCTTTGGACCATTGTCTGATGCCGCAAAAGAGAAATCCGACCTTTTAGGCTCCCTTTTTGTGTTCAACTCGACTCTAGATGACGGGGGGAACACACCGCCTACCATCCCGCGGTGTGAGTGCTCCATGCCGGATGTGCGGTTCTCACAGCGCTCGGTTCGCAGAGCACTCCTCTCCCTTGACATCCACAAGTCGAGTGGGCCTGACGGAATCCCCCCAATTGTGCTGAGGACGTGTGATCCGGAGTTGGCACCGGTTCTAATGCGTCTTTTCCGGTACTCCTACTCCCTACGCGTAGTCCCGAAATCATGGAAGACAGCTTTTGTCCAACCAAATCCCTTAAAAAAGGCGACCGCTCAGACCGGTCCAACTACAGGCCTATCGCCATCACCTCCTTGTTCTCCAAAATAATGGAATCCATTATTAACTGCCACCTCATGCGGTACCTTGAGGATCACCTGCTGATTAGTGACCGCCAATACGGTTTCCGTCGGGGTCGATCAGCTGGTGATCTACTGGTCTACTTGACTCATAGATGTGCGGAGACAGTAGAGTCCAAGGGGGAGGCGTTGGCCGTTAGTTTGGACATAGCGAAGGCCGTCGATCGGATTTGGCACAAAGCGCTTCTTTCGAAGCTCCCATCCTATGGGCTTCCCGAGAAATTGTGCAATTGGATCACCGGCTTCCTTGCAGATCGGAGTATCAAGGTGTTTTTTTTTTCTTTAAAAACGTTACCTCCACACTAGGATTTTTTCCTGTATCGTGGGGGCAGTTTACATACATAAAGATCACATGGACAAACATCCAGACCCGCAACAATTATTTGTAGGCCATACATATACTTGTTCCGTGCGGGATTCGAACCCGCGGCCCTTAATAGCGTTGTGACTCATTGCTAAGCCACTGCGCCACGGGGCCGTCAAATGGTGTAGACGGTGCATGCTCCGACTGCAAGCCTATTAACGCTGGTGTTCCACAAGGCTGTGTGCTATCACCAACGCTGTTTCTTCTGAATATCATTGATATGTTGCTAACTGGTAACATTCATTGCTATGCGGATGACAGCACTGGTGATGCTCTATACACCGGCCGTGCCAATATTTCTCGGGAAAACTGTGCCGAGTACCGGAACAAACTTGTGTCCGAAGTCGAGTCTTTGCTGAATAAAGTCTCGGATTGGGGGCGACTATATCTAGTCCAGTTTAATCCTCGGAAGACACAAGTTTGCGCGTTTACCGCTAAAAAGAACCTCTTTGTCGTATCTCCTCAGTTTCAAGGCACTCCCCTTGTTGCCTCAGCCAGTATCGGAATCCTCGGCGTCGACATAACGAGTGACGTGCAGTTTCGTGGTCATTTGGAAGTGAAGGCCAAATTGGCCTCTAAAAAGCTTGGCATGCTCAGCAGAGCGGGACAGTATTTCATGCCGGCACATCGCCTGCAACTTTACAAGGCGCAGGTTCGGCCTCACATGGAATACTGTTCCCATTTCTGCGCAGGGGCTTCCCAGTGCCAGCTCCTTCCACTTGACCGCATCCAGCGCAGAGCGGCTCGAATCATCGACGACCGAGTCCTTTCCGATCGGCTCTATTCATTGCCACTGCGAAGAGATGTTGCATCCCTTTACATTTTCTTTCGCATTTACCACGGGGAGTGCTCTGAGGAATTGTTTGGATTAATCCCAGCCGCCAAATTTGACGAACGCATATCGCGGCAGAACTCCCGATACCATCCACACCATCTGGATGATTGGCGGTTCACCACTGTGCGATTTAGAAGATGTTTTCTTCGCAAAACTTCCTCGTGGAATAGTTTACCACCAGCGATTTTTCCGGACCGATACGACTTAGAGATCTTCAAGAAAAGAGCCTACTCCTTTTTAAAAGGCCGGCAACGCATCTGCAATTTCCCTAGTTCCCCTGGTGTTGCAGTAGTTCATGGGCGGCGGTAGTCACTTACCATCAGGTGAGCCGCTTGTTCGTTTGCCCTCTCTCCTATAAAAAAAAAGTCTCAAACCATATGAATTTTCCCTATATCTAAGTAGTAGGCGTTTTACATTCATAAATGCACACGGTCAAACATCTAGAACCAGATTAATTCAAATTCTGAATTGAGCTCACAATATTTCGGAAAGTAGCAGCCAATAGAGTTACGGAGCTATACCGAGCCTTCTTAAGAGACATATTCGTTTCCCCATTCTATAACATCCCTAGTTCAAAGATTGTTATAGACATCATTTGTAAATAAAAACTTCCCTGGGGTAGGGATTTTATTACAGATACTTTACTTGATCTTACTTTTTCAATAATATTATTTTCTGGGCATGTATGTTGCATTTCAACATACTGAACTCGGTTTTGAAAGCCAGTTATGGGCCATCCTTCTGATGCCTATGCTGTATAATTTATTAAGTGAAATGCTTAGTAATACTCGATCATATGCCTTACTCAAATGTAATGAATTCCAATAGCGTATTAATTTTTTTAAGAATGTCTAATATATTTTGTGAATATTTGAAAACAGCTATGGTAGTTGACCGGTTACATCGAAAACCATTTTGGCTGTCATGAATTATATTAAATTTCTCACAAAATGAGTAAAGACGCGTTGTCATAGGTAGCGGATTCAATTATTTTAGAGAAAGATGTATAATGGTTAAAAAAATTACTTCGTACTTTTAATGATTATTACTATACTAAAGGAAAAACACATTAAGGCCCTTGTATGCTTCGCTGACTTTTTTTTTTTTTTTTTTTTTATAGGAGAGGGGGCAAACGAGCAAGCGGCTCACCTGATGGTAAGTGACTACCGCCGCCCATGAACAACCGCAACACCAGGGGAATTGCAGATGCGTTGCCGGCCTTTTAAAAAGGAGTAGGCTCTTTTCTTGAAGGTCCCTAAGTCGTATCGGTCCGGAAAAATCCCTGGTGGTAAACTATTCCACAAGGAAGTTGTGCGAGGAAGAAAACATCTTCTAAATCGCACAGTGGTGGACCGCCAATCATCCAGATGGTGTGGATGGTATCGGGAGTTCTGCCGCGATGTGCGTTCGTGAAATTTGGCGGCTGGGATTAATCCGAACAATTCCTCAGAGCACTCCCCATGGTAGATGCGAAAGAAAATGCAAAGAGATGCAACATCTCTTCGCAGTGCCAATGAATCGAGCCGATCGGAAAGGGCTCGGTCGTCGACGATTCGAGCCGCTCTGCGCTGGATGCGGTCAAGTGGAAGGAGCTGGCACTGGGGAGCCCCTGCCCAGAGATGGGAACAGTATTCCATGTGAGGCCGAACCTGCGCCTTGTAAAGTTGCAGGCGGTGTGCCGGCATGAAATACTGTCCCGCTCTGCTGAGCACGCCAAGCTTTTTAGAGGCCAATTTGGCCTTCTCTTCCAAGTGACCACGAAACTGCACGTCACTCGATATGTCGACTCCGAGGATACCGATACTGGCTGAGGCAAGAAGGGGAGTGCCTTGAAACTGAGGAGATACGACAAAGGGGTTCTTTTTAGCGGTAAACGCGCAAACTTGTGTCTTCTGAGGATTAAACTGGACTAGATTTAGTCGCCCCCAATCCGAGACTTTGTCCAGCAAAGACTCGACTTCAGACACAAGTTTGTTCCGGTACTCGGCGACGTTTTCCCGAGAAATATTGGCCCGGCCGGTGTATAGAGCATCACCAGTGCTGTCATCCGCATAGCAATGAATGTTACCAGTTAGCAACATATCATTGATATGCAGAAGAAACAGCGTTGGTGATAGCACACAGCCTTGTGGAACACCAGCGTTAATAGGCTTGTAGTCAGAACATGCACCGTCTACAACGACCTTGATGCTCCGATCTGCAAGAAAGCTGGTGATCCAATTGCACAATTTCTCGGGAAGCCCATAGGAAGGTAGCTTCGAAAGAAGCGCTTTGTGCCAAACCCGATCAAAGGCCTTGGCAATGTCCAGACTAACGGCCAACGCCTCCCCCTTGGACTCTACTGCCTTCGCCCATCTATGGGTCAGGTAGACCAGAAGATCACCAGCTGATCGACCCCGACGAAAACCGTATTGGCGGTCACTAATCAGCTGATGATCCTCAAGGTACCGGATGAGCTGGCAGTTAATAATGGATTCCATTATTTTGGAGAACAAGGAGGTGATCGCGATAGGCCTATAGTTGGACGGGTCTGAGCGGTCGCCTTTTTTAGGGATCGGGTGGACAAAAGCTGTCTTCCATGAATTCGGGACTACGCCTTGGGAGTAGGAGTACCGGAAAAGACGCGTTAGGACCGGTGCCAACTCCGGAGCACACGTCCTCAGCACAATTGGGGGGATTCCGTCAGGCCCACTCGACTTCTGGATGTCCAGGGAGAGAAGTGCTTTGCGAACTGAGCGCTGTGAGAATAGCACATCCGGCATGGAGCACTCACACCGCGGGATGGTCGGCGGTATTTTCCCCCCGTCATCAAGAGTCGAGTTGGACGCAAAAAGGGAGCCTAAAAGGTCGGCTTTGTCTTTTGCGTCTTGGGCCAGTGAGTCGTCCTCCCTGTGCAGAGATGGTAGTGATGGCTTACAGAAATTCCCTTGGACAGCCTTGGCGAGAGACCAGAATGCACGGGTTCCCGAAGGAAGGCGAACTAGTTTCTCGCCAATTCTGCCTATGTAATGCCTATGACTACTCACACGTGATGGTAAATCTCAGTAAGCAAATTCGTATTTCACGCGCTAATAAGAAAAAAAAAATACTTACATCTAAGCGGTAGGTCCCTGGTAGTAATATGCGCCAGAACTCTCCGTACTTGGTGGTGTGGTAGGTGACGTCACGCCCTTTCACCTTGACGGATGCGCGCTCAACCGGGTTGCCGTTCTCGTCCATCACGAATCCATGCGCGCCGCGGTGAGTCTCCGCCAAGTATTTAATCAGCGACTGTTAAGGTTCAATATTAATTACGTTACACGAGTTGACACTTTATTAACCTTCCCATATCATCTCCAAAAAGTAACAGGTTCACAAACAGATATTTAAGGAAGTTGTACATGTTATTTTGTAATGTTTTCTTTTTCATTTTCTAGAGTGATCTAAAATATATTATATACGCAAAACTTGGAGATAGTCTTAAAAAAAGCAAATATTGATAAGTAAATCGTTTTAACTAAAATTTAAATAACGCTACATTAATAGATAATATATGTAATCTCCTGTTTATTTGTTACCCATAATGTACATGGAATAAAATATCTATAGATAACACAAGTCATATCTAATCATGATACGAATATGGGGCCACAAATATACTCGTATGTTTGTATTTCTCACATTGTACATCATTCAACGATACATGCAAAATGTTTATTAAATTTTTCGTTTTACTCGTGTTCGCAAGTTTATTGGTAGAAATACATAGTGAAACAAGAATCGCGATTGCTCATCTAATATCATCTAATGTGTCCGGCAGTATAGTGTTCACCGAGACTGAAGGTGGTCTCCACGTAACGGGTACTATAGTCGGTTTAGATGCTGGAAAATATGGCTTTCATGTGCATGAATTGGGCGATATAAGTACTTGTGACGCGACAGGTGCTCATTTCAATCCTGATGGTAACACACACGGAGGTAGAGACCACAAGAACCGACATGTTGGTGATCTAGGAAACATACAGTTCGTTGGGAATAGGAATGCAGTTGCTAATGTTGATTTCGTTGACAACGTTATTTCACTAAGAGGACGTAACAGCATTATTGGACGTGCCTTAGTGCTTCATGAGCAGGAGGATGATCTTGGTTTGGGTGGAAACGAAAGTTCGCTTAATACAGGCAACGCTGGGTCTCGGGTGGCTTGCGGCGTTATTGGGCTACGTTCACCATCGGACCCTTGGAACTCGTCTATCAAAGTTATCCCTTCACTTTTTTTACTTGCGTTCGTCATTCTTTTAGTTCTTCGCGTATTCTGAAATGTGGACAACAAATCGATCCCGAGCTTCACTAATATTAAGGTCCATTAACATTTTAGGACAAAATCGTGAAAAATTCTGTATATGTGACAAATTATAAAACTTTTAAAAATCATTGTTAATTGTTTTATGTCGATTTCGTTATTGTGAATATTACCATGTACTCTTAAGATTAAAAAAAAACAAGAGAGTTTACCAGCATTCCCCGTTAAGGCGTTACATGTTCAGAAATTCAACTTTTAAGGTATTATGTTTTCGCATTTATTTTAAATGAAGTTAATTCTAACAGATTTCATTCAATTCATTCGAATCAATTCATGCTTATTTCTTTTAAAATAATAACATCGCAATAAAACTTTCCTTCAGGAAGAACATTGTTAAATCAACCTCATTTGCTATTGCTCTTTACTGATTTGGACCTGTTTCAGTTATCTTAGTTTTATTATTTATGTACATTGCATATTCGATTATATTTCAAATTATTAATTATTATATTAATTACATATATTATATTATTATAATATAATATTGATAATTTCAATATGCATTTTTAATTATACCTGTTTGTTATCCATCCAATACTTGGGTAGTTCGTGAGCTGGTGGGTATTTACAACAGGAGATCTCCAAAGTTATCTCCATGCATCCATGCCATAAGTAATTGTAGTCTTGCATGCCACCTGCAAATGCATTGTTATTGTTATATGTATAAACCTAGCAAGCTAACAGCATAGCAAAGTGGCGAAGCAATCAGCTTTGTAGCGGTTTTTAACGGTTGCCGTTGAGCAATCAGTTTCAAAATAGGAGGTTCAGATGCCTGGGTGATCAGTAATCGATTGCTGAAAACAGAATTTGAAAATTCAAAACCGTTCTCGAGATAATCGTGGGACAGACGGACAGACATCGTGAAATCAATAAGTGACTTCGCAAGTTTCGCCACTTAATAATAGTAAATATTACTATAAAACGTAAACATATTAATTTTATTTACTACTCAAGAGGCACATTTATAGGCATAATTGATTTGAATGGCGCAATTTTCAATATTCAGTTTATTATATTTTTTTTAGGTTTTAGGTTTTTCCCAGATATTTTATTACCTGTCAACGGATACCAGGCTGCACCATTAGTGATGCCGTTTTTGAAGCTCGGAGTGTTAGACTTGCAGGAAACACCCCTTGACATCTTGGCGTGATTGTTGGAGTACACCAGTGACAAATGTCGAAATACGTCATCATCCGGCGAGATGGACGGACTGTGCGCGTAGCTTTGGAATACTGCATTTAGGGGATATGTGGGCAAAAAAAAAAGACAAATACGGTTAAAATAAGGTGATAAACCAACTAAAGTAAGTAGTAATATAATACGTCACCGGAGCACGATACTGATGATCTGCATATTCCTGATTTTAAGCAGCGTGAACATTTCCAAAAGGAATTTAAATTTTACAAAATGGCAAAAATACTTCAGTAAGAAAAAGATTTATTAAAAAAATAAGTAGATAAAGGAAGATTAAAAATATGTATTATAAATATAATAAAGATACGACATAATAAATTAGCCAAATTAATATATAGCAATACCTATTTGCATAAACAATGATAACTTTTATACGTGGTAGAGCCATGCTGCAGCTATATTAGTAGTATAGTTGTAGCACGAATGGGTCGGCTCGCTCTCACAGAATACCAGCGTAAAATGGAGCTTGACACTGCTGTGTTGCGTGTGGTGAGTGTAGAGAACCGGAGACCCATTTTACTGGAAAAGAAGCATTCCATCTTAGTCCTCACGGGTGACGACGCATCTGTATTTTGATTCTATATTGAGAATAAATGTAGATGTCTATGGGTCACGGCAACCACTTACCATCAGGTGGACTGTGTGCTCGTTCGTCACCCTATGCTATAAAAAAAATACATAAATCTTTATACTTCTTACGAATTGAGGTTACAGCGAGTCTGGTACATTAACAAATATAAAACATGAGTCTAGATTCTGTGATGTTATTGCTGTTAGCCTATGCGGCTTTTGCAGCATCATCGGACTCAAGTAAAAAAAAAAACATGAGGTGAGGTCGTATTGCTACATGTTTCACAAGAGAGCCCACCGAATAACAGACAGGTCGTAGGGTAATATCATAAAATTCTGGCAACATTTTCTCTCCATGAAGGGTGGTACTGCCTTTTTTATAGACGTGTGGCATGACAGCAAATATTCTCAACTTTAAGCAGGCCAATTTTAGCTGTCTGCTAAACGCTGATGGCACTCCCTTATTTTTATTTTGAATAATTCTAAGAGTTATTTATTTAAACTTTCATGCACAAAGATGTACATATATATGTATCTGATCAGGCACACGTTGTTCTGCCCTTTTCGACGACGCTTCCTATGAAAAAAATCCTTAAATTCATAATAAAAAAATATTGGGCGTTACTTATCAGGATAATCTCTCAAGTAGGACCAAACGGCACAGAGTGTACAAAATTTCATTGAAATCAGTTCAGTAGTTTAAGAGTTCATCGCGGACAAATATATATATATAATTTCATTAATTTATTCATTCATTACCTGTCGACAACGCGACTTAAGAACATACAACTTGTGTTAAGATTTTGAAGCGTCTTTGTGCAAAGCAATCACTGCAATTGTTTTTATGCCCCTCTCTTAAATCGAATATAACAATCATCGTAAAAATAATACCTATATGAAATGCAAAGACATAGAATGATCTGAAATGGCAGCAAATCCTTGAAATTTTCTCACATTAAACGCATTATTATGTAAGAATTTTTTAAATCGCAATATTATTTATGGTCAGACTATTTACTAGAATGCTATAACTGACACCGGTATTCAACAATTTATTTCATTTCTAAGAATAATTAATTTTTTTTTAAAGATACTTACTAGCACTGGGTGTGTTATCGAAAGGATAGGATGCAACCAGAGCGCCACCATGCAGCGAGCCGGAGAGTACGAACTGGATCTTGCTAATCCATTCTTTCACTGCCTCCGTCTCCGGCTGAGGTTGTTTTGAGTTTGCTTTAAAGAAATCTGGGAAATTTCGGTTCAGGTCGTATCTTCTTGCATTGTGTCTGTGGAGAACAGATATTTGAAAGAAAAACTTTAACCTAAACTTTTCGTATTTTTGAAGCGTACGGGGTACACCGCGACCGTATGCTGCCGCACCGCAGCGCAGGCGCGTTAACGCCAATTTTGCTTGTATACATTATGGTTGTATACAGTGTGGCACAGATGCGGCAGCGGTGCGGTTACGGAACAATACATAGGAAATCTTATTGCATGCCCGATAAGATATATGAGAAATTAATAAATTCCCTGCCTAAAAATATTTTTATATAATAAAAACCCTTGAATACTGTTATTGTAAAATAATAACTCAAAACAAATAAAAAAAACACTGTTTTTCCCAACTTGACTGCTAAGCGTGACTATAGCAAATATCCTCCCTATGAGGCAATCTGCGGGGGAGGCCTATAATCAGCTGTGGACTTTTCATGGGCTTGGTGATGTTGATGATAAATCCTGTCACGTTAAAGTGGTCTTGAATATTTATTTCACAGTCTTGTCTCGTAAATATTCTTTATAACTAGTATTCTGATATATTTGTAAATTTTAGAGTATTTTTAAAATAGTCAATATTTTATAAATAATATAAAATATTGACTATTTTAAAATCACACATCACTCGTACGCTACACATTGCATAACATTACTTATAGGGAATTTACCTATCGTGTTTAACTTTTTTTGTACTTAGCTTTATGACATTTTGTTATCCCTGGTGCCTGTCATTGACAAATTAAAAGAGAAAAACTCTCGTTTCACTTTTTCTTATAGCTCCCGACGCTTTAGAGATTAAAATCCACCTTTATCTCAAAAGCGAAGATGACTAGATATTACCTGCTGTAGCAGTACCAGCTGTGTCGGATTTAGTATATAATAAAACTAAATCTGAACCTAAGTATACCACAACAAGAATTCAAGACACATTAGCACATTCTGCGTAGTTCCGACCAAAATTAAAAATTAAAGGTGAAGGTAGGCAGAACATATCACATGACATCAGGATGTCAAACACCCCAGTCAGCCCGTTAGCACAGTTTTTCAAATCACTCGCCATGTTGAGAGTTACAGTTAAAGTTAAACGTGACAAAATCCGTAAAAATTGTTTTATTTAATCATATAGTGACTTTTATTAAATACGTAGGTGACGTAAACGTAAATTACAGCTATAATAATAGAAACTGATAAATCTCGCATTCGTTTTTATGGTATTCATATTATGCCACGGCAATTTCTATAAAACCTTGATGTTAATGGATACCTAATTTGTGCAACTTTACGTCCTACTTACTGTTAAATGTTGAATAATCATAATTATACTGTATATAATATGATACATTGACAAATAATGTCCTCCATGCGAAATTTCGGTCACGGCAACTAATTTCAACGGTCGAGTGTGCGCGCAAACACAGGTGCAATCTCTATTCCCTTACTCTCATAGTCCAATAGATCTGACGCAGGACCAACGACTTTACGTTCTTTTCGAAGCACGGGGGTGAAACCCGCCAACTTCCTGATTTCGGGATGCTACTGGGAATTTCTTGACAGTAAACCTCCATAACTGATTTTGCTCTTACCCGGGATTCGAAACCGGGACTTCAAGCGTACTCAATTAAAAGTTTTTCTAGTTTTTTCGCTAGTCTCCGCTAATTATACCAACATTTGATGGTATTATGTCACAACAAAAGGCAAACCTTGGCAAAAGGCCATGACTACTAATGTGGCCCATTAACGTTATTAGACGCTCTTTACTTATATTCCAAACCATAGACCCCCAATTCTTGCTGAACGTCACGACTCGATCTAACTTTTAAGTAAAGTTCTGAGCACTAGGTTGCTTAATATTTCGTTTGTTTTGTTTCAAATAAAAAAAGATCTTACCTGCCGTGAATAGTGTTGCATTGGCCTTCCTTCGATATGGCAAAACCATCTGGGTTCATGGATGGCATCAAGTGAATTCTGGTGTTGTCCAGCAGCCATTTTATATATGAATCTGTTTCATATGACGTAACTAAGTACTGTAAATAATGGAAATACCTATATATAATATATATTAGTAAGAATTACACAAAGCGTGCCATCAAATGGAGGTGTAAGACAATTCCATAATTGAAATTTTTTTTTTTATAATTTTGGACTTGGATGCTTATCCTTTATGCCAGTGGTAGAGCCATGCTGCAGCTATATTCAGACCGGGGAAGGACCACGCTCTTACAGAATACCAACGTAAAATAGCAGCTTTACGCTGCTGTGTTTCGTATGGTGAGTGTAGAGAACCGGAGACCCTTTTTACTGGAAATGAGGCATTCCATCTTAGTCCTCACGGGTGACAACGCATCTGCATTTTGATTTTTAAAAGATGTAGATGTCTATGGGCCGCAGCAACCACTTACCATCAGGTGGACTATGTGCTCGTTGGTCACCCTTATCCTATAAAAAAACAACTAAAATTGATACAAAGATGGACGGCAGCATATTGCTCATAACACCTCAATAATAATAATAAAAACCTGTGGGTGCCAGTCCGCCAGCCAACCGTGGCAACTATATACTATCTACTAACTATCTATGGCGGCGGCTACGTTCAACAGTGGATTTTTGATGGGATGTAATGATAATAATTACAAAGAGTGTGTTAAATAGACACAATAATAAAATATTTCTGTTGAAACCATATCCGTTACAGCCTATAAGAGTCCACTGCTGAACATAGGACTTCCCCATAGATTAGCTCATTGGATGGATGTTTTCCATATTTGCCACGTTTGGCGAGCGGGTTGGCAACCGCAGTTTTTTATTTTTAGTCGTTATTGGGAAGAGCTGCCTATTTCCCGATTTGTTTCCCTCTGTCGCCGCTTACGACACCCACGGGACAATACGGGGTAGTGGATATTCTTACACCGCCACTACACGGTAAGTTGAAACCTTATGCTTATTAACAATTTCATTGGTTCCGGCGAGGATCGAACCAGGGTTACTCACGTACTGTGAAATTTACAGCGAACGAAATTTTAAGTGCTGATTTACCACGTGCTCGGCGGTGGAGGAAATCACCGTGAGAAAAATTGCGTATGTGAGAAATTAAAAAAAAATATTTGGAAGATATGTTGTGAAGTCCGCCAACACATGTACGGTAGACACTTGCCCTAAACCCCATTTAATACTGAGATGAAGCCTGTGCCCAGGAGTGGGACGTATATAGGCTATAACTTATCGCTTATCTCTGTGTCAATTGTGAAAATTTATTATTTTTTAACGTTTACGAATTTCAATTTAACAATGGTTTCAAGATTTCATTCCTTTATATTTACTTTTCCTATAACTAACATAATTTAATACGCTAAATGGAACCTTGTGCAATTATGTAAATAAATGGCAAGATATAATTTTATTATTTTAATAAAATAAATGTTGCTAAATAAGCTAGTCTATAATAAAACTAATTAATAAATCAGGCGTGAATTGATCTTATAAAGCTAGTCAGTAAAAAGTGTCAAAATATTTCTTCATCTATCTTATAAAACATCATTATTACACCTTCTCAAGTCCAACAATGATTCCCGATATACACCACCATAAACCACAGACACCATAATTTATCGGCTTCCTCTTGTCACTAAATTATTCCTCTGTCTCTTGGGAACCAGGTACGAGGTCTGCAATGAAGGGAAGCTGCCACTCAATAAACTTTGTTCCCTTTATGTGCTTCGGGCCATTTGGTCGGTATTACTTCAGCTTTCTGTTCCGTTAAAAAGAACCTCTACGTATATTGGTCACTATACACAATAGAACACGGTCCAGCTGGTTAAGTTCATGGTCGAAGTTGGATCAAATCGAATTTTTTGTACTAGTTAAATCGGTTCAACCGTTTCCGAGAAATCAGTGAACATAAATAAAAACATACAAATGGAATAATATATTCTTCTCGTTTTTTGAACTTGTTAAAAGTATATATTTATTTAAATATAATATACGAGTATTGTCTTCTTTAAAAAAAAAACTCTTATTCGTTAATGGCAGCATAACAAATCCATGTAACGGAAGCAAAGTATATAATTATGTACCATTTTAAATATGAATAGCATCATTGCACATAATATGAGCCCATTGTTCATCATACTGAGTCAACTGCTGGACACATGTCTTACAAAAAAAAAATACGCCAACAAGCGTATACTTCTTGAAATAGTTGTATCTATATATCATACTAAGCACGCCAGACAGGCAGCTTGTATAAACTATCCTAATGAGGTAAATTGCTACTACATGGACAATGGTTAAAAATAGACATGGACTAAGAGGAGAAATTAGTTTACTTGTTGTTTCCAAATAACATCTAATTTTTTATGATCAGTTTTATGTATTATTAGCTGCCCCCCGCGACTTCGCCCGCGTGGAATTATTTTGCACGGAAACCTAAAATAAAAGTAGCCAAAGCTACTCCTTATAACATCAGCTATCTGCAGGGAACATCCCATCCAAATTGGTTCACAGGTTTGGTGTGATGCGTGTTCAGACAGACGTAGTGTTTTTTCTGACTTACTTAATTCGATATCGTTATAATTTGGCCAATTTACACAGTATCTTTATTAATTATAGCTTATATGTTATTCTGATATATGAGCTATATAATTGTAATGTTTTATTAAAATCCATTTAGTAGTTTTTGCGTGAAAGAAAGAGTAACAAACATCCGTACATCCTCACAAACTTTCAGGTTTATAATATCAGTAGGATGAGTATTTATATTTCCAAACAGTTTTCTGATCTTTTTCTCCCGTTTGTACGGGACGTAAAAAGTTACACAAAAAAGATCCAACCCACAATATATTATATACAGTTTCTGTGTGGGAAGCAATGCATATAGCTTCGTGGCTGAGCAATGAGTTGCAGCGTTGAGGGCCGCGGGTTCCAATCCCGCACGGACAAGTGTTTGTATGGCCTACAAATAATTGTTCCAGGTCTGAATGTTTGCACTTGTGAAATTTATGTAGGTACGTAAACTACAGCAAAATACAGGAGAATTTCCTAGTGAAGGTAAAGTTTAAAAAAAAAGAAAAAAGGAAAAAAATATAGTTTCTATTCAGATGTGGTTTCTTCTAATGTTGACAACTCGTTTAGGAGAAGCGATCAAACGTCAGCGTCAAGGTCAAGCAATTTTGTGTTCTAAAAATGCCTCTATCATAACCATATATATCCTATAAAAATTGTAACAAACCTGTATGAGATGAAGTAACAGCTCGCGACCGACTGCTTCATTACCGTGGATGTTTGCTACGTACTTCACATCTGGCTTCCCTATCATGTGCTCGTACGGTGACGCAGACACAACCATCACCCACAGGTCCCGACCTTAAATGTTACAATTAATTTTGTAGGTAAACACAGAAATCTTCCCATTTTCGGCCTCACTTTCCCATCTCGATCTTTCTTTTTGGTTGGAATGTGTATGCGATATAAACATGGGGAAATAAGACATGAATACAAGTGGTAAAATAAAAAAATTTGTACGACCGACTTCAATATACTCTAATTAATCCCTTAAATTTTTAAATAAAAAAAGAATCATCGAAATCGTTTCAACGAGAAAAAGTTATGAGGTAACACATTTAAAAAACATATCGTCGAATTGAGTACCTCCTCCTTTTTGAAATCGGTTGAAAAAATACCTACATACTAGACACGATAATTTACATAAACAATTAAAAAACATTCAACAACTCAAATTAGAATTCATTCGATTAAAATAAAAAACTATAGATATATCGTACAAATCTCGCTGAAAAATACGTAGAGGATATCTTAAATGAACATCTCTGTCCATTTATCTTTAGCTCTGGTGAAATGATTAGTCCTTCAAGAGACATCCTTAAGATCAAGCTCTCAACTATATTCCTTCGAACTTTAGGCAAGCTTGGATGATTTGTGAGAATTAGAAATCCATCTCTAACTTGTAATGTTGCGGAGAATTTTGCCCTGGAATATTAGTTCAGAAACTGTATGTACAGCTTGCTTTGGCAATTCGCATGTGTAGAATAGAATAGAATAATTTTATATTCCATATAGATTACAAGTAATTGTTTTTAATTTTACTACTGGTTCTGAAAAACCTCTGCCCTGGGAAGAACCAGCAAGAAACCCAGCGGAAGTTTTTTTAAATATTTTTTTTTATCTTTCCTTGTATATTTTCTGGGAGTTTGTTGTAATGGCGTATACATTGCTCCATTAATGAATTACCGACTCTGTTGATTCGAGAAACTGGTATCATTAGCTTGTGTTTGATTCTGATGCTTATAAAATAGAATAGAATAGAATAGAACAGAATAGAATAATTTTTTAATCAATATTGATTGTAACATAATACTTATTGAAAGTCATTTTTTTACCACTGGTTCGGAAAATACCTCTGTCCTGGGAAGAACCAGCAAGAAACACAATCGATCACCTTATTCCCAGGGGTTATATTCATTCATGTATTCCTTGATATTATAATAACCCTTTTTGTACAGTTTTTTCTTTAATAAAACTTTTAAACTTGTTTATTGACAAACTTTGAATATGTTCTGGGATTTTGTTGTAAAAGCGTATACATTGCCCTATAAATGAATTACTGATTCTGTGGAGTCTAGTAACTGGCATTACAAGCTTATGTTTGTTCCTAGTGTTTAAAGTATGCACATCCTTATTTTATCAAAGCTATTTATGTTTTTATGTACATACATTACATTTTCATAAATATATCGCAATGCCAAAGTTAATATGTTTATTTCTTTAAATTTTTGTCTGAGGGATTCTTTACAATTTAGGTTATAGATCGCCTGAACGGCTCTCTTTTGCAAAGCAAATATAGCTTCAATATCAGTCGTATTACCCCATAGCAAAATTCCATAAGACATTACGCTATGAAAGTAACTAAAATACACTAATCTAACTGTCTCAACATCTGTGATACTTCTAATCTTTCTTACAGCATATGCTGCAGAAGTAAGTCTGCTTGCTAATTTAGATATATGGGGGCCCCATTGAAGTTTTGCGTCAATAGTAATACCGAGAAAAACAGTGGTATCCACAAGACTCAACTCCTCCCCATTTAACAGCACATTGGTATTCGAATGTTTTACATTAGGTATTGTAAATTTAATACACTTTGTCTTATTGCCATTTAAGAGAATATTGTTGGCGTTAAACCAATGTACTAATTTCGATAGAGCATTATTTACATCGTCATAATTAATTGACTGCCGTTTGAGTTTGAAAATTAAAGAGGTATCGTCAGCAAATAATACTATATAGTGATTGTCCCCTACAAGATAAGGTAAGTCATTAATATAGATTAAAAACAGAAATGGGCCAAGAATCGAGCCCTGAGGAACGCCCATTGATATTACCGATCCGGAGGAACCTTTACCTTTGATAACGACTTTTTGAGTTCTGTTACTTAAATATGAAGTAATAAGTATAAGCGCCAAATTTTTTACACCGTAATGTTGCAGTTTCCTGATAAATGTCTCATGATGAACACAATCAAAATCCTTGGAAAGATCACAGAAAATACCTAAGGCATCTTGTTGATTCTCCCAGGCATTAAAATATATTTCATAAGCTCAACACCGGCGTCAGACGTTGAGCGACCCCTTGTAAAACCAAATTGGTTTTTATGAAGTAATTTATTTGTATTAAAAAAAAATTGATCCAAAATTATTTTTCAAACATTTTACTGAGAGTTGGTAGTACAGAAATAGGTCTAAAATTAGCGGGATCCAATGTACTACCAGATTTAAAGGTGTTGCTTTACTATACTTCATTAAATCAGGAAACACACCAGAATCGATACAAGTATTAAAATAATAGCAAGATGAGGTGTAATTAAATCTATTATGGAAGCAATAACTATAACGGAAATCCCTCACAAATCTGCGGTTTTCTTTACATTAATAGTTTTGAAGTATTTTACAATATATTGCGGTAATACTTTTTCCAATCTATATTCTTTTAAACAGGTATTAACATTCTGTTTGAGTAATGACTCGACGACAGTTGGAGAAGTATTCAATGACTCTGTTGTCAAGATAGGAATATCAGTGAAATATTTCTCAAACACCGCTGCGACTTCTTGATTTGATTTAGTCAATTCATTGTTAATTTTTAATAGATAGTTTGAGTTACGAGGTTTGTCTTTACCGGTTTCGCTGCTAATTATACTCCACGTCATTTTAATTTTATTCTTAGCCGTCTTAATTTTGTTCCTAATATAATTTTTGACATATTCTTTAAAAGCATCGGAAAGATTATATGATCTTTCATGATAAAGGTCATATAAACTTCGTCTGCTTTTTTGAACTCCTACTGTCGCCTACTCATTAAATGCCTTGCGACTGTTTCTGGAGAATGTTTTAGAAGTAAATGTTTTTTTAAATTCATTGCTTATAAGGGTAAATAATTTTTACAGAGTGTATATCATTTTTTTAATTATAACTTAATTTTTTTAGTGATAATACATCAAATTTTCGTAAATTTAGTGAGAGGCAAAAATTAATATATTTATTTCTGTAGAATTTTCTCTGAGATTCTTTGTCGATTTTAGGTTGTAAATATTTCTTATGGCCCTCTTCTGCAAAACAAAAATAGTTAAAAAAATCAGCCGTATTTCCCCCTAAGCAGAATGCCATAAGACATTATGTTATGGAAATAACTGAAATAAACCAATCTAGCTGTCTCGACACTAATGAGACTTCTAATCATTTTTAGAGCATAAGTTGCATGCAGCCTATGTGACATCATATATGTGACACATAATTTTGTTATAAAAAATATCTGCTTGTTATTTATTTTTGCAGTGAAGTGAACTCAGTTTTTATAAAACATGAAACGTGACAGGTGTTTGAGTGTTAAAATTTGTATGAAATATGAAACGTGACAGGTATTACCGCCTGTCACCCAAATAGTAGGTCGAGACTACATACTTTTTATGTATTTTAAAAATATTGAAAATATTACTAAACTTCAACTTTAACAAATATTTAAATACTTTAATGGGGTTATTAACAATTTTCATTTCATTACAATGAGCATTTATAATTCCGAAGCTATTAGAATGGTACTTTTTATGTATTTTTAAAAATATAGAAAATATTACTAAACCTCAACTTTAACAAATATTTAAATACTTTAATGGGGTTATTAACAATTTTTATTTCATTACAATCAGCATTTATAATTCCGAAGCTGTTTGAGTTACGACCGTCCCGTTTTTATTGCTCTGAGTGATAATATAAAATATTTTTATAGGATAGGGTGACAAACGAGCACACAGCCCACCTGATGGTAAGTGGTCGCTGTGACCCATAGACATCTACATCTATCCTCAATAAAGAATCAAACTGCAGATGCGTTGTCACCCGTGAGGACTAAGATGGGATGTTTTATTTCCAGTAAAAAGGGTCTCCGGTTCTCTACACTCACCATACAAAATACAGCAGTGTTAAGCTGCTATTTTACGCTGGTATTCTGTGAGAACGTGGTCCTTCCCCGGGCGAGCCGACCTAATACTTCTAATATAGCTGCAGCATGGCTCTACTAAAAATAATGATAGCGCTATATGAACAAGAATTTGGACTAAATTAAATGACGATACAGTATGTCAACGACAAACACAAGATCAACATATTGTGAACAAAATTGATCGAAAAATTCCAAACTGTCTTGTCTTTGACTTTGATCCTTTGACCTTGACTGTGTTAAAATTATTTTAATGTGTATTGCTTATATATATTATTAAAGAATCTTCTTGGGTAAAAGACTTAAACGCTAAGACGTCTAGTCTAGGTAGAGTAGATATGATGATTGAATAATGCTTTTCCGGCCGATTTCGATCACGTCGGTAATTTCTGAGGAATTTAAATTTGTACATAATATATTGGATCGAGCCTGGATTTAAACCTAGAAAACACTAATAAATGAGACTTAAATTATCGTAATGGGTAGGTACTCACATTGAAACTCGTATGGCAAGTATATAATATCCACGTATTTAGCGACATACATTGACTAACTTAAGAGCTTGTTGTTGTCTAGATTGACATTTTGCAACGTTTATTAAAAATTTATCATAATTATTATTGATTTTTAATGAGCCTTAATTCAAACATTCATACAGGAAAATTCTGAAAGACACCTACGTTTAATTGAATTCAACACATTCTTTAGAATTGTTAACATTAAACATGTTTTTATTTTACCCGACTTATAAAAATGGTTATGATTTTCAGGTGTCTGAACATAATATTTATTTGTCTGTTTCGTTGTGACCAAAATGTAGCAATAATGGCTTAACAGATTTTAAAGCACGAAGCATCTTTAGATTCTCTTGCATACTCAAGAATACCAACTACAAAGTAAAAATATACAAAATCTAACTTTCGCCAACTTTAAAAACTTTACTATGCAAAGGTCGTGTTTATAAACTTGTTATTATAATATTAAGGAATTTATGGATGATAATAATTCCTGAGAATGAGGTGATCACTACCATGCTATTTCTAATTTGTGTTGTTAATTATTGTGTAACTTTAATGACTGTAAACTGTCCTTTTTATTTCCAAAAAAATTTTTTCTGATTTTTCCCAGGACAGAGGTATTTTTCGAAACAGTGGTAAACAGTGGTAAAATGCGTGGTAGAGCCATGCTGCAGCTATATTATTTATGGTTGTAGCACGAATGGGTCGGCTCGACCGGGGGAGGACCACGCTCTCACAGAATACCAGCGTAAATTAGCAGCTTAACGCTTCTGTGTTTCGTATGGTGAGTGTAGAGATCCGGAGACTCTTTTTACTGGAAACGAGGCATTCCATCTTAGTCCTCACGGGTGACAACACATCTGCATTTTGATTCGTAATCGAAGATAGATGTAGATGTCTATGGGCCACAGCAACCACTTACCATCAGGTGGACTGTGTGCTCGTTTGTCACCCTTATTCTATAAAAAAAATTGTCATAAGAGTGAGTTTCAATAAGTATTATTTATGATCTTTATTGAATAAAATATTTTCTGTTCTATCCTATTCCACGGATAATTTTAAGGATAACTTTATATTCTACCCTCGCAATACAGAATAAGGTGCTTGGTTTAGTTAAAAATCGGGCGCTGCCATCAGATTCTTCATTTTTAATAATAACTGATTTATTCGCCTATTTTTAACAATTACAGTAATATCCTATAATTAACGCCCCACTGCTGGGCACAGTTTCTACATATTTTAAAGAGAGTTTTGGGGCAAGGAACAGTCAACTGCACTGCCCGAATACGTGTCACAAGATTTTTTTTATAGGATAGGGTGACAAACGAGCACACAGTCTACCTGATGGTAATTGGTTCCTACTTGCTGTGACCCACAGACATCTACATCTATCCTCGTTTGCGATTCAAAATGCAGATCCGTTGTCACCCGTGAGGGCTAATATGGAATACCTCTTTTCCACTAAATAGGGTCTTCGGTTCTCTACACTCACCATACGAAACACAGCAGCATTAAGCTGCTATTTTACGGTGGTATTCCGTGAGAGCGTGGTCCTTCCCCGGTCGAGTCGACCCATTCGTGCTACAACTATACTCGAAATATAGCTGCAGCATGGCTCTACCACGTACATAATAAGATTTCACATGTCCTCGAATAATATTTTTAATTTCTCAGATTCACATAAAAGGTTTTCTTCACCGCCTTTAACGAGGTATACCGGTACTTAAAATGACAGTAAAACGAACGGTTGTAGGTACAATTACGACAATTTAAAGAAAGCGCCCATCTCCTAAGCTACCTAATCTATCGTTGAAGTTTGAAAGTAAAAGTTATTGCGGTTAATTTTAGAAAGATATATTCCGCTACGCATATTCGTGCCCATATTAATTCTAATGTTACTTGTTTAATGTCGTCTATACATAATATATCATAACAATTTAAAGTGGTCTACTTACGAGTACATATTGCGCATGGTATAGCGACATTCTGCGCAACACGACCGTAATCATTAACTGTACCCGCTACAGAAAATACACTAGTTCCCGTTACACTAGAGCAGAGATAGCAAACCTGTGGCACGCTTTTCGTAAGTGGTGCAGGTATCACAGGTTTGAAAATGGAGTAAAATCTAAATAGGTACAATAATGTGTTTTTTACAAGTTATCCGGCTTAGATTCAAAATTAATGGAGCCTATACACCATCGGTCATGATTGACAACTACAGAATGGGGCATGATTGTCTCAATCATTGCGCGGCTGTCCACACAATCGTGCATCCTACATATTTGTATTGTCATCTGTCCGAGATGGACGTTGAAACAGTAGCAGCTGCCGCTATTTATTTTAACTAGTTTATAATTATTATTGAAATGTAGACCATAACAGAGTGATGAAAAAAAGGAAGTTGTTCTATTTTTATTTGTTCTATTTTGGTGTAAAAAGTTACAGCCTATTTACGTCCCACTGCCGGGCACAGGCCTCCCCTCATTTCTGAGAGGGTTTTAGGGCAAGGAAATGTCCACCACGCTGCCCCAATGTCTGTTGATAAACTTCACATGCTTTCGATTTTTTTTTCTTATTTCTCAGACATGCAGGTTTCCTCACGATGTTTTCCTTCACCTCCGAGCACGTGGTAAATCAGCACTTAAAATTGCAATTATCAATTTCATTGGTGCCGGCGGGGATCGAACCCGGGTTGCTCGCGTGCTGTGAAATTAAAGCGAGCGCTAACCATCCGAGCTACCACGGCTAACAGAATGGTGAAAAAAAGGAAGTTGTTCTATTTTTATTTGTTCTATTTTGGTGTATGTTGACTATATACCGAAATAGAACAAGGTAAGTTTATAGAGCATCGGCGTTCGAAGATCATGTAGACGCGCGTACGATCATGGCCGAACTTCCTCTGATGTTTATCCGAAAAACCGACACAGCGACCATTACGCTCGATCATTACCGACCATGGGCAGTTATAGGCGATTATGCCCTCTACACGATCGTGATCGCCAGAATTCATCCATCATAACCGATGATGTATAGGCCCCATTAGACTCGTAACCCTCAACATCCTACTTAATTCTAGGTGTTAAGACCACTAACAAACCATTTTCCAAAATTTAAAAAATAAAAAACAAAATATGTCTGCTTTTATCATCGTAATAAACAATTTTTAACACTGGTATTGAATGTTTAAAAGTTTGCTATCCCTGCGTTGGGAACTTACTTAACGTGAGAAAGATCTTCACCGTACGATATTATCAAGTAGGTAATTACAATAATATTTTAAAATCTCACTGCTAAGATCAACTAACCTTTTTTAAAACATAATGTGCCAAAAGGTATATTTTTAACATTACTAGAGTTGAGGATATATATAATCTGGATAACGCTCCTGCGTTGAACTAGAAGAGTAAAAATATTTGAGGTTTTTAGTTAGCTGTAATTGAACAATGTCTAATTAAAAAGGTTGTTTACCTTCAACGGATTTCCCTATGGAGTATAGAGCGGTGAGAGCTGGATAACTTGCGGAGACTGATCTAAGATATCTTGTCATTTCATCGTGATCATGGTATCGGAATTCTAGGTCCGGTCCACTCTGTCGGGATTCTATATCACTTATGTTTGATGTTGTATCGCCATGTACTGGAAAAATATGTATATGAGAAAGGAATATTGTTTAATTATTTAATCCTGAAAAAACAATTAATTTCAACCCAAATTACTAATTAGGCTACGTATTAAATGAAATAAATTTTTACGGATCCTATCGCGTTTAATTTAACTTTTTAATTACCGACGTTTCGAGTGCTTTATAGCACCCATGGTCATGGAGGGGGGGGGGGGGGGCAGTAGGTGGACTGGCGAGATGCGATATTTGCTTCTGACAGTAAAGCACTCGAAACGTCGGAATTAAAAAGTTAAATTACACGCGATAGAATTCGTAAATATTAGTTTCATTTAATGTGTAGTGTTCGCGTAAATATAAGAAATCATTAATTAGTCTATGATTTCGATTATTGTCCAATAGTGATGTGGAAATGCATTGTTCATTTAATGGAAAATATGAAAGACTTGCATTTTTCTGCACACTTTATTAAAAGTTATTTGATTTATAATCTGACCGGTTTGGCCTTTTCAGGGCATGTTCAAAATATGGAAAACTGAAATGAAAGTTTTTTTCAGGTGGCCAGTAGCTTTTCGCATATTTTGAGATTGTCATTGGTCCTTTTCCCGATTATATTAGCTTATCTATGGTCCTTTTATAAGTAGGTAGTGGTAGTAGTGAATCATATATACTAATTTTATCCTTAGATACCTAATGTTTACACTTAAATTCAACACTTACTTGAATAACTGGAGTCAGAGTGTTGTCCGTATATTGTTACTACCAACAATACCGTAACGTAACTGATTACAAGAAATCTGGCCATCTGCGGGTTAAAAAGAAGTTGATTACGTTCATTTGCCTATAAAAACTTTATAGATGTTTTACTTATCCAAAGCCCAAAATTAAAATTAGACTTTGGATAAGTGTTACACATAACCGTGTAGTGGCGGTGTAAGAATATCCCCATATAATCCCGTGGGTGTCATAAAAGGCGACAGCGGGCAGTAGTATCTTCCTGATAACAGATTAGTAAAAATAATAAGCTGCGATTGCGAACCTGCTTTCCAAGCGTGGCAACTATGGCAAATATTTCTCCTATGAGGCAATCTGTGCGTGACGTCTTTGCGGTATCCAATTTTGCTGGATTACAATCCCTAAATATATTACAATTCTTTTAAATCTTTACATGTTTAAGTAAGGTCTAGAAGGTCATTCATTAATTACGTAAGAGTAATTTTATACAGCGAACTCACATTATTTTAAAATGTAGGCACAGTATTATAAACTGAAGGAAGTGGTAAAATTTTAAATTTTGTACAACCGACTTCAATATAAGTTAGTACCAGTAGTTTTTGAGTAAGGATTACTCAAAAACTACTGATCAGACCTTGATCAAATTTATATGGGACCGCAGAAAAGCACCAGCTTCTCATGTGGAAAGAGAACAATCATCGAAATCGATTCACGTAGAAAAAAGTTATGAGGTAACACACATAAAAAACATACAGTCGAATTGACTGACTACCTCTTCCTTATAAAAAAAAACAATAATCTTGTCAGTTGTAGGCTTGCATTTCCCATTTAAGCTTGAGTATAAAATTAATCCGTTAAATACAGTGATGATATTATTTAGTAAATGTTTACTTTTATCAGGCGTATCAATGGTCAATAAGAAAGTTTTTAAAATTAATTTAAAACGCATTATTTAATTGATATACCTTAAAATCTTCTTAATCCTACAATATTAGAGAATATGTGTAAGCAATTTGAAAGAAGTCGCAGATTTCTTCTTGAATTTAAGTTATATTCGTCTGTGCCATTGATATACAAGTAACTATATCAATGGTCTGTGATATGTATTTTTAAAAGTATTCCAGTTGTGTCATTTACATGCATGTAGCGACGCGGTGGGTTAATTAGCATAGAGCTTTCTTTTTATGTTATGATGTGTGGGTAGAGTAACGTGATAGCTCCAATGAACAAAGCGAACCGGTCCCCAGCTGAAGGTTACTGGGTCAGTGGACCCAGCTGACAGGTAGCGTCTTTAAAATGTTACAGTACTTATCAAAAACCAGTAATCATAATTTCTGAGGGTTTTTATTAAAGATCTGCCACTGATTTTTAATGAACAAGCTAATATGCGCGCCTTTGAAGAGACCTAGCCATATGTTATGGATCATTGTTCGCTGATAAAGCTGGCTGCAATCGGGTGCTTCCACCTAATTATATATTAAATTCTCAAAAATATATTATAATAATTTTAAACAAAATCCGACCAGCATTTCAAAGATAATGGATGATTAGCTCTATGACCTAGCAGAAATCAGATCTGTGTGTAATTAGGTGTCATTAATTTTCCGATAAAAAATGTTGAAAAATTACAACATAATGGCAGTATAATTAGATATTTTATTTCATAGGACGATTGACGATAAAAGCAAATCATTTATTTCATTCACAGGCTGATCTCTTTGTGAGTATGTAATAAATATTAAACAATACGCTATATTTATACATTGTATCTTTTTTCTACTTTTTAACAATAAATTATAGTCTATTTAATAAAATGAATGGTGACAGCCCTAACGACATAGTGCTAGATAATGTTTCATAACCCTGTAGTTTGAAAGCGAAAACAATGTAGCGCAGAAACTCATCTTCAAATAGTTCTTTAAAAATAATTTCCAAACAATGACTAATACCTAAAACCATGGCTGGAACAATACGACTGCGAGGCCGACATATTTTTTATGGGACTGGGTTTGTGGTACCTACTAAATACTACAAATTTATGTATTATGGAGATACAGAAAAGTAGATCTTTATCAAAATAACATATTTCCTCATCACTTAAATTGAAGAGAAACAAAATTTACTCTTTACAGTATGTTATGATGAAGACACTAGAGTAGACTAACGTAAAACTAAACATATTCCCGCCACTTATCTGAGTTTTATCATTTTTGCATAATTTAAGACTATAATAAATATAAATTGAGGTGACAGCTATTAAAATGTAGTTCACCTAGCGAATTAATATTATACTAATCATGTATAAATAAAATATCATAATTTACAAAGAATTGCATCTTATCAATATATTTATGATCCAATCTTTAATTTTTAATGCTCTTTTTTACCTATTTAAATGTCCGTTTAGTTGATAATAATTTTCTTCTTGAGAGATTTCAGTATTACAGAACTAGTAAATGCAAAACTGTTTACAAAGACAAAATGGTTTAACTGAGGCTAGGCAATGGTTAAATAATTTTATAATACTTTTTTTAAACACTACACTAAGAATTGTATCTAGAGACGTTTCAAATACATACGAATATAGTCCACGTGACCGTAAAAATTATTTGTTAGACATACAACACTTGTACAGTACTCGAACCCACGGCCCAAAGAACTGTAATCAAGTTCTTAGCCACTGCGCTACTAAGCAGATTGTTGTAAAGTGGCTTAGGATATTACTTGATTACATTAAAATCATAGGCGCCTATTTTTTCTCCTTTAGAAATATATTTTTTTTACAAATTTAAAGGGAAACACCTGACCACAATAAAGTATAACCAATTGAATAAAACTACTTTTACGGATTATATCGCGTTTAATTAACTTATTTTTATTTTTTATTAATTCTCGACGTTTCAGTCCCCCGTGACGAAACGTCGAGAATTAATAAAAAAATAAAAATAAGTTAATTAAACGCCATATAATCCGTAAAAGTAGTTTTATTCAATGTGTAGGGTTCGCGTAAATATATGAAATCATTAAAGTATAACCAAATCAAATAGATAAAAAAGAATCATTAAAACGGTTCACGATTGACGAAGATATCATGTAAAACAAAAAATTGAGAAACATATGTTTTACTTTTTTAATTAATCGGATATCGACACACTGACCCTATTATATAGGTGTTTTGCTACTAAACTACAAATAAATCACCGAAATAAATAAAATTAAGTTTTATTTGCATAATAACTGTAAATAATAATTTGAATTTTTTTTAACTATTTTTTGAAAAGACAACGATTGTTCATATTTATGTACGCGGATAGTATCTACCTACTGTACATTCTGTAAAACTAGTTTCTACGTATTTTATTTATAAACACGCTAATTATTATTATAAATAATAGTAAACAAACAAATGAGAATGGGACTTCTGGCAATTTTGGGCCTGATGTTAACAAATTGTGACATAAAGTTTAAAAAATTGGCTTTACTTTGTTGGTTCTTTGTAATGTTTTTCGAGTTTATGAATGTATGTATGTCTTTTCCTTAGCACAACCTGTAGCCTAAAGGGTTTGACGGATTTTGAGATATTATTGGATCTTTAGATTCGTCTCAGTTGTGGAACTGACAGAGTACCTATTTCTTTTTCTTTTCAATAAACTTTTTTACGCAGTCGGGTTTTATTTAAATATTGTATTAACCTTCGGGCGTATTCAAATTTAATATCTCTTCTTTCAGTATACCTAATACCTACATACAGATTGCAAATTAATTATAATTTTCTTACAAAATTATTGTTTTATCGGCATACTTTAAGTGGAGAAACCATTTAGGTACAGGCATGTAGAGTATATTTTATAATATACTAATACAATCCAACCCGGCTTCGCACGGCTGATTTCTGGATCTCGACAACAGCGCCACCTACCGGGTCCTATTCTGAATCTAAACCATCAGGGAACCGCAAAAATACACACAAAACATTTATCAAAACAGGTCGAACTGTTTTCGTATTTTTTGCGAGACTTAACGCACAGCAATTGATTTTTATATATACTTATAGATAGATGAGTAAGACAACTTTCTACAACGGGAAAGACCCATGTCCAGAACTGGACTTTTACGGGCTTACAAAGAAGAAGGGAGAACAAGAAGAGTAAAACACAAACCAAATATTCGAAAATTAAATAAACAAATAAAGCGACGATACAAAAAAGAAATATATCTGAATGACCATTATGAAAAGTGAAAAGAAAACAGGCAGTGATGCATCCATTAGCATAATTCGCGTCACGGTCAATGCTGCTTACTTTTTCTTCTGTGAAAGTTTAAGTTAAGCGTGCAAGGAATACCTATGTTATGTTCTGCTAAGCTCAATGCCAATGTCACGCTTTTGGTCGCAATTGATTAATTTTATGCTTTGATCATTAAAAATATTCAATAATTGTTATAAATATAATACACCACATTATGTATAATTCGACAAAATTATGGACATAAAGTAACTTAATCCAATGTTTATGTTTTTAGTAATATATAATATATTAACATAACAATACATAGGTAGCACTCATTGTAATTATTAATTTAAGTTATTAAGATTTTTTTCCTTATTAAATTTACAACGAGTTTACCGAAATCAAAGTAAATATCTTACCTTGAAAATACAAATTAAATCCGGTAGCAAAAAGCGATGTCCGCTGACATTGAAAACATTCAATTTTGGATTTGGAACATTAGGGAATGAGATCGCGTCTACCTTAACTATAAACTTAAAGGGAGTAGAGAGACGGTAAGGTCCTTGTGAATGGACGGACGAACCTCGACTGGCTGTGGCATAAAGTGGCGGGTGCTAACCATGAGCAAGGCATCTGCGTCATCCGAACACACGCGCGCGACGGCAGTGCTTTCTCTCTAAATGATCACTAGTAAAATATGTTGTAATGCGTTACGGTAAGGTTCATTTTAAAATAGATTAGTACTAAAGTGTTAAAAGTAATGTGTATATTGCATTTTCTTCTCTACACATAAGAGTTTAGAGGCAAGTTTTCAAACGCACACGTGCCTTCCACGCTATGA